ACAGACGTTGATGTCTCATCGACAACTATGTTAAGACTCTCTCTCTCTCTCTCTCTCTCCCTTCCTCTCTTCCCTTCCTGTCTCTCCCTCCCTCTCTCTCGCCCTTCCTCTCCCTCTCTCCCTCTCTCTCCGCGTCCAAGTCGCTCACTCTGCCGCCCCCTCCTCCTCGACGTCGCAAGGCGACTTCTTCGACGCGCACTGGGCGAAATGGACCACGCTCGTCGACGACCCCGACGCGCTGCGCGAGCCCAAGTGCGACCTGTGCCGCCGCGAGGTCGACCTCTCGGTGCGTCCTTCGCGCTCGCCCCGCGCCGCGGTCCTGTCTCTCCTCCTCTCTCCTCCCTCGCGCGCGCTCTCTCTCTTTCGCGGCTCGAGGACAGGGGACTGACTCTTTCTCTCTGTTGCCGGATGCGCAGGACCACCTCGCGTTCCACCTGTGCACCGCCTCGGACCCGGCGGCGCTCGCGCCCTGCCTCGCCCTGTTCCACCCCGTCTGCCTCGCGACGCACCTCCTCTCGCCCTCGCCGACAACCTCGACCACGAACACGACCACGCCCACGCCCACGACCCTGACCTCGTCCTCCGCCCCGCCCGCGCTCCTCGCCCCGCCCCTCCTCCCGACCAAAGGCGCCTGCCCCGCGTGCGGCGGCGCCGTGCACTGGGCCGAGCTCGTGAGGGGCAGCTACCGCCGCCGGGACGAGGCCGAGGGCAAGAGGAAGAAGAGGACGAGGCAGCGCGGTGGGGCGGCGGCGGGTGCGGGGACGGCGGTGGTGGGAGGTGGAGCGGGGACGAAAGGGTGCGCGAGGGCCACGGGCAGGAGCAAGGGCGAGGGCAAGGGCAAGGGCAAGGGGAGGGCGAGGGCGGCCGGGCGCGCCGAGGAGAGCGACGTCGACGACGAGCTCGCGACGTTCCGCTTTGCCGGCTCGGGCGAGGACGACTCGTCCTCGGGCGCCGGGTCAGTCGACCTTGCGCTCGACGACGACGACCACGACGAGAGCGACGCCGAGCGCTCGTTTGCGCGGCTCGACGCGGCGGCGCAGGAGGCGCTCGGCGAGGGCGACGAGGTGCGCGCGCCGTGGGACGACGACGACGACGACGAGGGCGAGGCGTCGGCGCTCGGCCCGAGCGCGTTCAAGCGCCCACAGCGTGCGCGCTCGTCGCCGCGTCGCGACCTCGGGCGCTCCTCGCCCGCACCCTCACCAACGCCCTCCCCCCCTCCCCCTCCTCTTCCTCCTCTTCTGCCGCCCAAGAAGCGCGGCCGCCCTCCCAAAACCCGCCCCGCGCCCTCACCTGCACCGTACTCTGCGCCCGGCGACATCCCGCTCAACCTCGGACCGCTCGCGCCCGCCCGCTCGCCGTGGGACGACCTCGTCGACGTGCCGCAGCCGCCGGCGCGCCGCAAGGCCCGTGCGCCGCGCCTGCCCGCCGTCACCCCACCCGCACCCGCACCCGCACCCGCACCCGCGCCCGCCGCCCTCCCCAAGAAGCGCGGCCGGCCGCCCAAGGCCGCCGCCGCGCCTCGCTCGCTCGTCGCCGCCGGGTCCGGGTTCGGCACGACCAAGGCGCAGCTGGCGTCGTCTCGGCGCGCTCGAGAGGACGGCGGGGCGCGCGAGAAGGGTGAGGCGGGCGCGCTCGAGGAGGAGAAGGAGGAGGAGGAGGAGGAGGGGCGAGCGAGGCGGACGAGGGGCCCGGACGGGGCGAAGAAGCGGCAGGCGTACATTGAGCTGTCGGACTGAGTAGACGGGGACGAGGGCTTGTTATTGCTATCACTACTGCACTCTCTCGTCGGGCGCCCCGTTCGTCGTCGCCTCCCTCTCCTGCTCGTTCTCGTCCCACCCTCGCCCTCGCCCTCGCTCGACCGCCCTGCCGCGCCCGCCCTCACGGCGCCTCATGTCGCCTCGCCCACCTCGCTCAGCGCATCGCGCACCGCCCACGCGCGCTCGAGCAGCCCGAGCACGGCGCTCTCGACGCTCAGGCCCTCGTCGCCGCCCGGGCCCGGGCTCGCGAGCCGCACCGCCGCGAGCTGGGCGTCGACGCCTGTCTCGGCGGCGAGGCGCACGAGGGCGTCGAGGGCGTGCGTGAGGTGGGCGAGAGAGGGCGAGCTGGGGGGAGAAAGGGAGAGGGTTGGGGGGCCGGGGAGGGCGAGGTGCGCGAGTGAGAGGGTCGGTGCGAGGCGGGCGAGGAGGGCCGGCACGCTCGGTGCTGCGGCGAGGTGAGGGTGTGCGACAGCGGTGAGGAGTTCGACGAGGATGCGGTGGACGGTCGCGAGGATGGGCGGCGCGAGGAGGGCGAGCGCACGGCGCGGAAACGAGGCCGAGAGGTGGACGAGGAGGGGAACGGCGAGAGCGACGGCGGACGCAGCGTCGTCGGTCGTGGGCCGGTCGAGAGTGTCACCGAGTAGTCGCTGCACGGCGGCGAAGAGCTGCACAGATCGAGAAACGCCGCCTTGAGCGCTTTCGCTCGGAGCAGAGGCAAAAAGTGAGCGCACGCACCTCTCGCTCGACGTCGCCCCCCGTCGCCCGGCCCGACGCCTTCCTCGCTCGCCCTCGCGTCCTCATGCCCGTCTCCTCGACATCTGCTGCCCTGCTCGGCGCCTGCTCGTCCTCCCCGTCGGGCAGCCGTTCTGCCGCGAGCGCGACTTGCTCGAGGAGCTCCCACGAGCGCGCGAGGTTGCCGATGGCTCGCTCCGGCTTGTCGACCGACGCATCGTCGCGAGTATCGACAGCAGAGGCGATGGCGCGGAGGAGCTCGGCGGGCGAGGTTTCGACGGCCGTCGTCGTCGGGGTCGTTGAGGCTGCTCGAGAAGGTTGAGCGTCGGCTGGAGCGAGGTGCGCTGTACTCGGTGGGGGCCGTCGGTGCCGAGGAGCTGTTGGAGGCTGGTGCGGCGATACTGCTGAACGAGAGGGGAGTGGAGAGAGTGAGTGAGCGCGAGGAAAGAGCGCGAGAACGGGCACGAGGGACGACGGACGCACCTGGAACTTGTTGCTCGGGCAGCCATGCTTGCGGTCGACTCGCTCGATGGTCGAACGGCGCCGCAGGAGGCTCGACCGACGAGCGCACCCGCTCGCGCAAGGAAGCGAGCCAATCTGATGGAAGAGAGTCAGTGCTCCGGCTCGCTGTCGCGCGCTCTGGCCCCCTGACGGCTTGCCCGAGAGGCTCGTCGCGTCGGGCTTGTGCTCGAGGAGGACGAGAGCCTGTGCACGAGGGTCGAGAGGCGCGTGTCAGGGCCGTGCACTACGTGAGAGGAGGAGGCAAAAGAGGGACGCACGAGGGCGACACGCAGCTGCGTGGCGCGTGCGGGCGGTAGCGCAGACATCCTCGACAAAGCAGCAGTGAGGACCGAGGCGCGCAAAAGGCCCAGAGGCAGCGGATGTGGTGGACGAGAGGGACGCAGACCTTTGCACGCTCGATTCGAGCAACGGCCCGAGCGGCAATTGCAGCACTTTCGCGCTCGCTACTCAACTCTCTCGCTCGACGCCGCGCACAAATATCTCGCCCGTTCCACCGGTTCTATCTACAACTCGTGTGCAGCACCCGCCGCCAACCCGCTCTCACGCCCCCTCTTCCCGCCCCTCGCACCTCACGCCCTCGACCTCGCCCTCCCACTCCCAGCTCGTCCACACGCCAAACTCGTTCTGCAGTCGGCTCCCGGCGTGCTCGACGGCGAAACTGGTGCGGTATAACGGGCCGGCGGGCGGCGAGGTGTAGACCGAGGGGAGGAACGCACGCGTCGAGGTCGACGTGAGGAGGACGAGCTTGCCCGAGGTTGGGTCGAGGAGCGAGTTGAGCGTTTGCGCAAAGTAGCGGTTGGTCGTCTGTGTGTGTGTGGGAGTGCGAGAGAGGACTGGGTCAGTGCCTGAGTAGCAAAAGAGGAGAGAGGGCGAGGGCGCACCTCGTTGAGGAACGGCGGGTCGGCAATCGCGATGTCGATCTTGCCGCGCAGCTCTTGAGGAAACACGTCTGGCTCCTCGAGGTCGTACTTGACAAAGTTGTCGCCGGCGACGAGCCCGAACCGGGCGTCGTACTCGAACAGGTACACGTGCGGGAGCGGGTTCTGGTGCTGGAAGCCGACGTACGACGTCGGGCACGACAGGAACGCGATCCGGGTCGACGGGGTGCAGTGCGCGTAGAGGAACGTGGCAAAGCGGGACGCAAAGTCGGCAGAGTACCTGGTGTGCGCGAGGAGGACGAGGTCAGGGGCGAGCGCACTTTTGAAAGCGAGAGGGAGAGACGACGGACCAGAACTGCGACAGCTGCCAGTCCTCCTTCATGAGGGTGCGGAACTCGTCGACGCTCATCATCTTGTCGTCTGAGTGCGTGCAGGCGAGGGATGTCAACTCGGGCGGGAAAGCGGTGCAGGGAGGAGGAGAGCGTGGACGCACCTGGGGCGTTACCCTCTCGCGCCTGCTCGAGTCGCTCGTGGGCCTTCTTCTCGAGCTCGTGAAACTGGCGCTCGGCGTCGGCCTGCTCGTCGTAGAAGGCCGACAGGGCGGCGAGGGTCGACGGGTCGAGCTGGAGGGCGGGAGACGGCGAGCGCGAGGCTGGCGGGGACGGCGCGTCGGTCGAGTGTGGTGCGCTGGATGCCATGACGGGCTCGCAGTAGCTGTAGAGCGAGTCGGCGAAGAGTGACAAGAGCGAACCCGACCTGATCTCACTCTCGCCTTCTCCACCAGCTCGTCCTCTCTGCCATGGCCGTGAGTCTAGCCTGGATTCGCCAAATCTACTTCTAAACTGCTCACTAACCGCCTCGCACCCTCACAGGACCAGCCCGACTGGGTGACGCTCGTGTCCGCCGACGGTCCGTCCTCATCTCCTCTCGCCTCGTGCACCCTCCACAGCCAGCCAGAGCTGACTTGTGCACGCCCAACACGCCCACACAGGTCACCGCTTCATCCTCCCGCGCACGGCCGCCCTCGGGTCCGACTTCCTGTCCAACACGCTCTCTGCCGACTTCCTCGAGTCGGCGACCGGCGTCGTGCGCCTCCCCGAGATGCGCGCAGAGGTCGTCGAAAAGGTGTGCGAGTACCTCGTGTACAAGGAAAAGTACAAGGCCACAAAGGGCGAGATCCCCGACTTCAAGGAACGCGTCAAGCCCGAAATCGCCCTCGAGCTGTCCGTCCTCTGTCTTCTCCTCCTCCTTGTTGAGCGCCTCGACTGACGAGTCTACGCATCCTCAGGTTGATGGCGAGCGACTACCTCGAGTGTTGAGCGGCCGGCGAGGCGAGGTGGATGTACAGGAGCCGTCGAGCGCAGTCGAGCAGTGCCAGTCCAGCCGTGTTGTACCTCTCGGTCTCTCGCGGGACCCCCATTCTCGAAGAGCGCAAGAGAGAGAGAGAGAGATAAAGAGTGTCCATGGCACGTCCCGCCTCTCCTTACGCGCCCTCCTCGTCCGCGCTGTCCCCTCCCCCTCCCGAGCCACCTCCACCCGCTCCCTCGGCCGTCTTGTTCCGCCTCCCCGCCCGCCCGACAACCTGGCTCCACGTCCCGAGCCTCCCCCACGCGCTCTTGGCCGTGCCCGTCGTCGAGCCCGAACCCCCCGACGCCGCGCTCGCGATCGAGGTCGAGTCGGCGTCGTCGCGCGCCGCCCACGTCGTCGGCGTCGTCGTCGTCGTCGTCGAGCTCGTGCGGGGGCGCGACGAGCCCTGCGCGTCGAGGTCGCGCGAGTCGTCGCCGTCGTGCTCGCCGCTCGGACCCGCGTCGGCCCCCTCCTGCGCCCGACCTGCGTCGGCCTCGTCATTCACAACGACCGGCACCGGCGGCGCGAGCTGCTGTGCCGGGCCAGACGACGACGACGACGGCTGCTGCTGCGGCGGCGGCACCCTGCCCGCCCCGACAGCAAGCGGCGACCCAGCGCCTCCTGCGCCCGCCCCGCTGCCGGCCCTGCTCCGCGTCCCGACCGCCCTCGACTGCGGCACGTAGACGCTCGACGACGACGACGGCGGCGGCGGGGGCGACGGCGCCGCGCCGTACCCGCCGTACTGCTGCTGCTGCTGCTGCTGTTGCTGAGCGAGCGCCCACAGCGCCTGCGCCTGCGCCGCATGCGCAAACTGCTGCGCCGCCTGGGCGCGCTCGCTTGGCGGCGACGGCGGCGCGCTGCCCGAGCCCGTGCCCGGGCCCTGGCCCTGAGCGGCGCCCGCACCGACTGCTCCGAGGCCAGGCGGGAGCGCGCCACTCGAGGAGCCGTACAGCGACGAGGCCGACGACGACGAGGTCGTCGCGGCGGCGTGCAGCTGCACCTGCGGCGGGACGAGCGGCGCGTCGCCGCCGCCGCTCCCTGGGCTCGACGACACACCGGGCAGCGTCGTCACGTTGATCGACGCGCTCGACGAGCCGGCGTCGGGCCCTGCTCCACCGCCGCCTGCACCGCCACCTGCGGCCGAGCGGCGGAACAGCCGCCCGAATCGGTCCTGCGACTGCCCGCTCGCCGCCGCGCCCGCCCCACCGCGAGCGCGCGCCCAGCGGAACCCGAACGGCCCGCTCCCGCTGCCGCTCGCCGCGCCCTGCTGCTGCTGCTGCTGCTGCTGGGCCGAAGGGGGCGGGGCCGCGCCGGCGGGCACGGGGACGACGGGCACGAGCGGGACGAGGCCCGTCGTTGGGTCGGGCGGGCCCACAGGCGCGAGCGTCGTGCCCGGCGGGTACACGCCGGGCGGGAGGACCGCCCCCTGTCCTTGCCCGCCGCCGCCCCGCATGCGCGCCATGGCGCCCTCGTCGCGGTCGAGCGCAATGAGCTCGGCCTCGACGGCGTGCATCTCGCGCTCGATCTGGTGCAGGACGTCGTGCGCGGCCGTGTCGCGCGACGCGACCGTCGACTGGATCGCCTTGTTGAGCGCGTCGAGCTCGCGCGCGAGGTCGGCCAGGTTGGGCGTGGCGGTTGCGGTGGCGGGTGCGGGCGTGGAAGGGTCGGGAGGAGGGGCTGAGGGATCTTGAGGTGGCGCGGCGGCGGCGGCGGCGGCGGTGGAGGAGGAAGAGGCGGGAGCGGTCGTCGCGGGGGACGAGTCGTCGTCGCCGGCCTGTGCCGCCTCGTCGGCGCCGGCGGGCGCAGGCCCACCCTTGGCGACAGGCGGCGTCGGCGTCCCCGACACGGGCACGCCAACCTCCCTCCGTCCCTCCCTCCAATCCTCGAGCTCCTCCCTGACGCGCTCCTCCTCGCCCTCCATCTCCTCCAACCTTCTCTCGACCTCGTCCCTCTCGCGGCCCCTCACGTCGCGCTCGGCGTCCCTCGCGCGCCGGATCGCCTCGTCGAGTCCCTGGATGCGCGTCCGCGCGCGCTGGTCCTCCTTGGCCGTCTTGTCGAGCGCGCGCCGCAGCGACGCGAGCGACGACAGGAGCGACTGCTCGGTCGAGCGCGTCGAGGCCCGCAGCGCCTTGAGCGACGCGCGCAGCGTCGCCTCGGTCGGGGCGGCACCGCCGCCGCCGCCGCCGCTCGAGGCATCGTCGGTCGCCGCCGCCGAGCCGCCGCCGCCGGATGCTGCCGCGCCGGCAGAGCTCGTCGCGCCCGCACCGGCGACGCCGGTCGACGACGAGCCAGTCGCGGGCTCGGCTGGCGAGTACGGCGGCGGCGGGCCGTCGGGGAACTGGTCGGGCGAAAAGTCGTGCGCGGCGCCACCGGCGCCACCTCCGCCGCCCGTCGATGACGATGGCGAGTGGCCTGCGAGCGCCGCGGTGGATGACGACGATGATGCGCCGGCGGCGGTGGGGCCGGACGATGCGGCCGAGTCGAGGATGTCGGACGCGGATGGACGGCGGGAAGATGGCTCTCGCGACGAGGTCGGGGTCGAGGTCGAGGGCAGGCCGGCCGTCCCACCGGCGGCAGTCGTCGTCATCGTGGACGACGACGACGCGGCCGGTTCGACGTCGACGTCGAGCGCGATCTCGTACTGCCTCGCCGGGTCGAGGCCGTACACGATGACGGTCGTGTCGTGACCGTCGCGGTCGTCGTTCGGGGCCGTGCCGGCGTGCGCGACGTGCGGCCACGGGTTGCGGTCGAGCTGGATCGAGATGGTGCCCGGGGTGCGGGCGCTCGGGGTGTGGACGGCGAGGGCGACGCTTGACGGGGTCACGTCGAGGACCTCGAGGCGGAGGGGTTGGTGGAGGTGCGGGTGGGCGGCATGGTGAGGGGCGGGCGAAGCGGACCGAGGTGGTGCTTGTGCTGCGCTGGACGACGACGAGGACGAGGCGGCGGTCGGGGCGAGTGGGTCGAGCGAGAGCGAGGGTGCGCGCTTGCGGCCATGGGGCATGGTGGGCGTTGCGAGCTTGTTGCTGTTTCGCTGTGGGAGCAAGAGCGACGTGAGTAGTTGACTTGGGGAGGGGGCAGCTCGACGAGGGAGAGATGAGAGCGGGGACGCACCAGGCCACGGGGAGACGCGAGACCAAGCCGAGTCGCCGAGAGGGAGCAGTCACAGCGCACTCGAAGCAGCAGCAGTGCTCTCCTGGCAGCGGTGGGTGCGGCAGTCGGGGTCCAAGGTTGAGGAGGAGGACGAGGTCGCTCGCTTCATCTCACGGGTCTCTCTCCCTCTCGCCCTCGCTGTGGACCCGCACCCACTCTGACTGGCGACGACACCGCCCAAAGATGGCACCAGCCGCAACCCCGCTCGACACCTGGGTGTCGGACAACCTCCTCGTCCTCCTCGGCGCATCCGACTCGACCACGGTCGCCTACTTCCAGCAGCTCGCCGCCACGAGCTCGTCTGCAGACGCCCTCGCCCACACCTTGACCTCGAACGGCCTCGCCGCCTCGGCCGCCACCTCGCACTTTGCCCGCGACCTCTTCTCGCGCGTGCCTCGCCCCACCTCGCGCTCAAAGGAGGCCCTCCACGCCGACACGCGCCGCAAACTCGCCAGCGAGAAGCAGCAGCTCAACGGTCAGCGCTTCTCGCTCGTCCTCGACGACGACGCCAACAACGCCGACTCGACCCCGTCCACCTCGTCGTCGTCCAAGCCCCGCCGCTCGTCGTCGGCCGCCGACAAGGGCAAGGCCAAGGAGCGCGCCGACCCGGACCGCAAGCGCTCGGCGACGACCCGCAGGCGCGAGCGCGGCGGCGACGCCGACAAGTGGGGCTCGGAGGACGACGACGAGCGCGACATCAAGCGCCGCCGCGAGCACGACCGCGCACAGCGCGAGGCCGCCTCGTCGGCTCGGCGCACGGGCGCAGGAGCAGGAGCGGGGCGGTCACTGTCGCCCGGCGGGTCGGGCGCAGGAGCAGGAGCAGGAGCGGCGCCGAGCGAGGCGGACGACGACGAGGACCCGGCCGCGCGCGCCGAGCGCGAACGCCTGCGCGACCTCGCCGAGCGCGACGAGTTTGCGGCACGCATGCGCGACCGCGAGAAGGGGCGCACCAAGGCGCTCGTCGGCGAGCGGCCCGGCGTCGTCGTCGGGCGCGAGCTCGACGCCGCAGGCGGCGACGACAAGGAGCAGATGCGCGAGCTGCGCGGCCGGGCGCGCCAGGCGTACCTCGGTAAGCGCGAGCTGCAGCAGCTCGACTTGCTCCGGCTCGAGGTGGCCGACTTTGAGCGCGACTTTCGTGGCGTCAAGTTGACGAGGCGCGAGCAGCGCGAGCTCGACCACAAGAAGGAGCTGCTGCGCCTCGCCGAGGAGCGCCTCGCCATCGACGACGGCGGCGACCACTACCAGATGCCCGACGGTGCGTCTCGCACTCTCTCTCTCTCTCGTCGTCGTCGTGGTTCCCGGCCCGAGACTGACGTTGGCCGCCCTCGCCCTCTCCTCCTCGCAGACTATTTCACCGAGCAGGGCAAGATCGACTCGCAGCGCAAGAAGGACCTGTTGACGTCGCGGTACACGGACGTCAAGCCGCAGCGGCACCACGGCGGCGTCCCGCACAAGGACGGCGAGTTTGTGACCGACCTCGAGCAGTACGAGCACGAGCAGACGGCCAAGGCCCAGTTGACGGCCGGCGCGCTCGACCGCGACGTCGTCGACCAAGGCGCCGAGTACGACTACGTGTTTGACGACGCGGTCCAGATCCAGTTTGCGCTCGACATGGAGGACCGCATCGAGGGCACGGTCGACCCCAAGGAGGCGGCGCTCCAGGCCCAGATTGACGAGGCCGAGCGCCGTGCCCAGTCGATCGACGACACGCGCAAGTCGCTCCCGGTTTTCGCGTGGCGCCAGCAGTTCCTCGACGCCGTCAAGCAGTACCAGGTGCTCGTCATCGAGGGCGAGACCGGCTCGGGCAAGACGACCCAGCTCCCGCAGTACCTGTACGAGGCCGGCTACTGCACCGACGGCATGAAGATCGGGTGCACCCAGCCCCGTCGCGTCGCCGCCATGTCGGTCGCGGCGCGCGTCGCCGACGAGGTCGGGTGCCGCCTCGGCGCCGAGGTGGGCTACTCGATCCGGTTCGAGGACTGCACGAGCGACAAGACCAAGATCAAGTACATGACCGACGGCATGTTGCTGCGCGAGTTCCTCACCGAGCCCGACTTGGCGGGCTACTCGTGCATGATCATCGACGAGGCGCACGAGCGCACGTTGAGCACCGACATCCTCCTCGGCCTCGTCAAGGTGCGTCCCGGCCTCTTCCTTCTCTTATGTCTCGTCTTTTCGAGGCCGTACCTCGGCTTCGAGACGTCGAGTTCTCCGAGCGGATCTGGCCTGACCCGCCCTTGCTCGTCGCGCAGGACATTGCCCGCTTCCGCCCCGACTTTCGCCTCCTCATCGCCTCGGCGACGCTCAACGCGACCAAGTTCTCCGAGTACTTTGACGACGCGCCCGTCTTCCGCAGTGCGTCCCTATGCTCCTCCCTCTCTCTTTCGTCGAGAGTTGCGCTCTGACCCGTTCTCTCCCCGCTCGCCGCACCCAGTTCCCGGCCGTCGGTACCCGGTCGATATCCTGTACACGCCGCAGCCCGAGGCCAACTACCTGCACGCGGCCGTCACGACCGTGTTCCAGATCCACACGACCCAGCCCAAGGGCGACATCCTCGTATTCCTCACGGGCCAGGACGAGATCGAGGCGGCGCAGGAGAGCCTCGAGGAGACGGCGCGCGCGCTCGGCAACAAGGTCGCAGAGCTTGTCATTGCGCCCATCTACGCCAACTTGCCGACCGAGATGCAGAGCAAGATCTTTGAGCCGACGCCCGAGGGGGCCCGCAAGGTGCGTCCTCGCCCCTCTTCCTCCTCTTTCCTCTCCCTTGTACTCAACCACCTTCTCGATGATGTCGAGCACGCCCACTGACCCGGCACGATCCCTCACCTGCAGGTCGTCCTCGCGACCAACATTGCCGAGACGAGCATCACGATCGACGGCGTCGTCTACGTGATCGACCCGGGCTTCGTCAAGCAGAACGCGTACAACCCGCGCAACGGCATGGAGTCGCTCGTCGTCACGCCGTGCTCGCGCGCCGCAGCCGGTCAACGCGCCGGGCGCGCCGGGCGGGTCGGCCCGGGCAAGTGCTTCCGGCTGTACACCAAGCACGCTTTCTTGCACGAGCTCGAGCAGGACACGGTGCCCGAGATCCAGCGCACCAACCTCGGCACGGTCGTGCTCATGCTCAAGAGCCTCGGCATCAACGACCTCCTCGGGTTCGACTTTCTCGACCCGCCGCCGGGCGACACGCTCGTGCGCGCGCTCGACCTCCTGTACGCGCTCGGCGCGTTCAACGACCGCGGCGAGTTGACCAAGATGGGCAGGCGCATGGCCGAGTTCCCGATGGACCCGGCGTTGAGCAAGAGCATCCTCGCGAGCGAGAAGTACAACTGCACCGAGGAGGTCCGTCCCCTCCTTGTCCCTCTCTCTCTCTTTGCCGTCGACGATCCTGACGTCCTCGTCCCACACACACAGGTCCTCACGATCGTGTCGATGCTGAGCGAGTCTGGCTCGCTCTTCTACCGGCCAAAGCAGAAGAAGCTCGAGGGTGCGTCCCCTCTCTCCTTCCTCCCTCTCCCGCCTTGCTTCGAGGCCCGTGCACTGACCTCTCTCATCTCGTCCCTCCCCATCGATCGCTCGCAGCCGACACGGCGCGCCAGAACTTTGTCAAGCCCGGTGGCGACCACTTCATGCTGCTCAACGTCTGGGAGCAGTGGCACGACTCGGGCTACTCGACGTCGTGGACGTACGAGCACTTTGTCCAGGTCAAGGTGCGTCCTCTCTCTCCCTCTCTCTCTCTCTCTCTCTGTGCCGCCCGAGACTCAGGACCTGACGCCTCCTCCCGCAGAGCTTGACGCGCGTGCGCGACATCCGAGACCAGCTCCTCCAACTCTGCGAGCGCGTCGAGATCTTTGTCGAGCCCAACCCGAACGCGAGCGACATCGTGCCGATCCAGAAGGCCATCTCTGCTGGGTGCGTCGAGCCCCTCGCTCTCTCTCTCTCTCCTCGCTCGAAGGCGTCGCCCATCGAGCCTCGCTGACACTCTCGCCCGGCGCGCTCGCAGATACTTCCTCAACACGGGCCGGCTCAACCGCAGCGGCGACGCCTACCGCACGCTCAAGTGCGTCCTCCCTCCCTCTCTTTCTCTTTCTCGCCGCCGAGCGCTCTCTGACGCCCCCGCTCGTGCGCCCACAGGACCAACCAGACGGTCCACATCCACCCGTCGTCGTCCCTCTTCCAGCACCAGCCGCCGCCCAAGCTCGTCCTGTGGTTCGAGCTCGTCATGACGTCGAGGGAGTACGCGAGGCAGGTCATGGAGATCAAGCCCGAGTGGCTCCTCGAGGGTGCGTCGCGCTCGTTCCCCTCTTCCTCCTTCCCCTCGCCCTCTTCCCCTCTCTCCCTGCCTCGTCTTTCCTCCCTCTCTGCGTCGTTCGTCCTCACGATCGAGCGTCGCCCACTGACACCCTCGCGCGTCGCTCGCAGTCGCGCCGCACTACTTCAAGCCGGCCGACCTCGAGTCGATCGGGACCAGGAAGGGCCAGATCAACGCCAAGGCGCAGGGCGCAGCGCAGCTCCCGAGGCAGTCGCAGGCGTGAGACGAGTGGGATACGTGTGTAGATGGAGCGAGGGAGCGTGTTGTACAGATTTGAGTACTGCGACTCGTCGTGCTCGAGAAGGCGTCCGTGGAGAGCAGGCCGCTCGCCCGACCGACCGACCCGAGTAAGCTCGTGTCTCCTCCGTGCCACCTTTCGCTCTCAGATACTTGAGGGACGGGCGGGCTCGTGCAACAAGGTGGACAAAGGACTCGCATCAGGGGCTCGAGCGCTTTCCGAGGTGCCGTTTTCCCGGCTTCGACGCTGCCGAGGCAAAGGAGCTCTCTCGAAGTGTATGCTGTTGCAATGACGTCTACAACGAGCGCGAACGGTGAGAAGGCGAGCGACAGGGCGACGAAGCCCGTTCACCGCCGCCGCCGGCCACCTCGGCGGCGCGACCACTCGTCGAACGAGTCTGCGTCCCACTCGACGCACCGCAGGGCGACGTAGTGCATGACGAGGTCGTCGTCGCCGTCCTCCTCGAGTTGCTGCATGACCTCGGCGCTGCTCGTCACGCCGCCGGAGAAGCCCCAGTCGGCGAGCATGTCCTTGGCCCGCCCGTGCCGGGCGTTGGTCCGCTCGCAGTGGCCCTCGAGGATGTCGCGCAGGACCGACTCGAGACGGCTCGCGGCGCCCGGGCCGCGAGGGATCAGGACGCTCGCGGCGCGACAGGCGACGTACCACCCTTTGTAGCACCACCGCCCCTCGCCCTCGCGCAGGAGCACGTTGATGCCCTCGCGGTCCTTGTCGTCGTGGAACCGCGAGGCGGCCTCGACCACGGCGACGCACTTGGACCGCGACGTGACGAGGACGAGGGGCTGGCCCGGTGCGAGCGCGCGCGAGTCCGACAGGCCGCACAGGTTCATGTCCTGCTTGAGCGTGAGCGTGTTGCGCGACCGCGTGTAGACGCCGTTGCGCGTGCCCTTGTTGATGAGCTCGATCTGCTTGTTGTCGAGGTGCGGGCGCGCAAAGACGAGCTCTTGGTCGAGGCCGGTCGGCAGGTCGGCTGGCGGGCCGAGCACGCTCGTGTCGGCGTCCATGAGCGGCGCAGAGGTGACAGGGTCGGTGAGGAGGAGGTGCGGGAGCCAGAGGAAGGCCGAGACGAGGGGCACGGTGACGGCTGAGCCCGTCGGACGAGGCGCATTTTCCTGCGTGACCTGGTGCGACGAAGGTCAGTCCCGCGCTCGAGACGAACACCGTCGCCTTGAGAGGAAACGTGGACGCACTTGATCGACGCGACCGGGAGCCTGCTCCTCGGCCCGCTCTTGCGCAGCTCCCTCCTCGAGCCGGGCCTGCTCCTCCTCGACCTGGTCCTCCTTGGCCGGGCGCTCGCCCGGCGACCTTCCCGCGCTCCGTCGACGCCTCTTCCTCGGCGGCGACACCTCGCGGTCGGCAGCCGACGCACGCACGACAGGGATGTCGCTCGCGCGACGCGAGCCACGGGTGCGGCTCGAGATGGCCGCTTGCGGCGCGGTCGCGTCCGGGATGGGCGGGCGCGGCGTGTCGCGCGTGCGTGAGCCGACGGGTGCACTTGCGGGGGCGGCGGGCTTGGACGGGTGGGCGGCTCGAGGCGTCGACAGGTTCGAAGGGCCCGGCGTCGCGTTGCGCTGCTCGGGCGGCGCGGTGACGGACGGCTCGCGGGTCGACGGCGTCGCTGCGAGGCGCTCGGCTTGTCGAGGGGGAGCTGCTGGTTGCTCTTGAGGACGCTCGGCTGAGGCGTGTGCGGCGAGGCTAGCGGCAGAACGGCGGTGCTGCAGGGACGAGAACGGCCGTCAGGACGAGCCACTCTTGGTCGAGAGAGGAGTCTGGACGGACCGGATCGATTCGGTCGCAGTAGTGACAGCTGTCGAGAGGCTGTAGATGGCCTGGCGGACGCTGTTGCGGTCGGCCTCCCAGTCGACCATGCTCTCGAGGACGAACAGGACGGCGGCCATGCCCGACGGTCCTGGCTCGACGGATTGCAGGTCGGGCTCGGCGATCGACGAAAAGGTGGACGTGAGGGCCGTCTTGACACGAGGCCATGTCGGCGAGTCGCGCGAGACGAGGAACGGGGCAAAGTGCGGTCGAGTGCGAGGTGCGTCGGCGGTTGCAGCGTCGGCCACGAGGCTGTCGAGCTCGGCGACGTCGGCTACGAGGTCCTTGAGCGCGTTGGAGAGGAAAGCGCCGTGCCGGGCCTGCTTGGCGCCTGTTGCGGGACTGGGTTCACCTCGCGACCGGGGGGACGAGGTGGGGAGGAGGAGGGGGGCGAACCTGCTGCTGCCGGTCCCTCGGCTGCCACAGGACCTTGTCCACTCATCTTGGCCGACCACGAGCGGAGCTCTAGCGTGCAGCAGTGCAACGCGAGCGAGGTGTGGAGCAGGACTTGAAGCCGACTCGCTCTCATCAGCTCGTCGTCGTTGTCTCGACCTCGACCACAACCCACGATGCCGACAAAGCCGACAAGGGCCGACAAGGGCAAGGCCAAGGCCCAGGACCCGCCCGAGGGCAAGCTCAAGCCCATCAACCCGCGCAAGCACGCCCTCGACGCCTCGTCCCTCCTCCCCTTCCAGACCAACATCCTCCGCCAGCTCGTGCCCCCAGAGAACGCTGCGCCGTCCACAGGCGACGCCCTCTTGATCATGGCCCGTGGCCTCGGCCTGCGCACCATCGTCACCACCTTTGTGAGCTCCCCCTCCTCGGCCGTGGTGGGGCAGCAGCGGACCTTTAGCTCACGACGCCCGCCCGCCCGCGCCCGCAGCTCAAGATCTACGACATGCCCGACAAGCTCGTCCTCGTCGTCAACGCTACCCCGGAGGAGGAGCGCAGCTTTGAGCAGGAGGTCGGCCTGCGCCTCAAGGTGCTCAGCTACGAGGTGACGGACGAGAAGCGGTCCGTCCTCGCTCTCTCTCTCTCCTTTCGTCCAACCCCGCAAGCTGACTCGAGCACGACGACACACAGCGAACGCATGTACAAGGACGGCGGCGTCTTCTCGGTCACGTCGCGCATCCTCGTGGTCGACATGCTCAAGAAAGTCATCCCGACCGCCCTCATCACGGGCATCGTCATCCTGCACGCCGAGGAGTGCGTCTCGAGACGTCCGCTTCACCCTCTCGGTGGTGCCCAGCTGACTCGCGCTCTCGCACACAGGGTCAAGGCGACGTCGCAAGAGGCCTTCATCGTCCGTCAGTACCGCGACGAGAACAAGGTGCGCCTCGCCTCTGCCTCTGCCCACCTCTCGGTCAGTTGCTCACGTCCCTTTCGCGCGCAGGTCGGCTTCCTCAAGGCGTTCTCGGACCGGCCCGAGACGTTCTCGTTCGGCTTTGCGCCGCTGCAGACGACGCTCGTCCAGCTCAAGCTCCGCGAGGTGCTCATCCTCCCTCGGTACGTCCTCTTCCTCCCTCAGCTGGCGAACTCGGTCCACGCGGTACACACCGCTCACATGCTCCCCGTCGTGCAGCTTCCACGACGACGTCGACCGCGACCTCAAGAAGCGCCAGGCCGACGTCGTCGAGATCTACCAGCCGCTCACGAGCAACATGCTCGACATCCAGACGGCCATCCTCGAGTGCATGGAGCTCACCCTGTCCGAGATCAAGCGCAGCAACCACTACGTGCGTCCTCGCTCTCCTTGTCCTCGTCCTCGCCGACCGCCGACTGATCCGGCCTCCCTCACGCAGCTCGACATCGAGGACCTGACGGTCGAGAACGCCCTCTTCTCTTCGTTCGACCACCTCGTGCGCATCAAGCTCGACCCTGTCTGGCACAAAGTCGGCCCCAAGATGCGCGGACTCGTGCACGACTTGACCTACCTCCGCAAGCTGCAAGAGTACGTCCTCTTCGTCGACAAGCCTCCTTTCTTCTACCGTCACGACGACTGACGCCTGTTCTTCCCTCGCAGCATGCTCCTCAGGACCAACTGCGTCGACTTCAACCAGTACCTCGAGACGTTCCTGTCGTCCTTCTCGACCGCCGTCGCCGGCCAGCTCGACCGCCGCGAGCGGCCCGCTTGGCTCGGCACGCCCGCCGCCGACACCATCTTTACCGTCGCGCGCAACCGGGTCTACAAGCAGAACCGCGTCGAGGCGCCACCGCCGTCGTCGGACCGCGACCGCGACCGCCGGCGCGAGACGACCGTCGACGGACTCGAGATCCCCGACGACCTCGCCGAGGCCGACTGGCTCGAGGCGCTCGCGGCGTCGGTCGACGAGGGCGCGGGCGCGGGCGCGGGCGCGCCAGGGCCGACCGACGAGGAGGAGCAGATGCTGCGCGAGCTCGAGGAGACGGCCATGCGCGAGCGCGGCGAGATGCCGCCGCCACCGCCGCCTGGCTCGGGCGCGGCGGCGGGCCCGTCGTCGAGCAAGCCCAAGAAGAAGGCGCGCATCCGGTGGATGCCGCCCGGCGTCGAGCCCGTCCTCGAGGAGCAGCCCAAATGGCTCGTCTTGACCGAGGTCCTTGACGAGATCGAGCGCCACATGATCCAGGCCGACGTCCACCCTTGTGCGTCCGACCCTGCCCCCACTTTCCCTCTCTCTCTCACTCTCCCATCACCGACTGACTCGCCCTTTGCTCGTCCGCAGTCGGCTCGAACGACACGATCCTCGTCATGTGCAACTCGTCGTCGACGTGCCAGACGCTCGGCAACTACCTCTCGGCGGCCGACTCGGACGCCGGCACGGGCCACAACATGCTCGAGACCAAGCTCCAGAGCTACTTCTACTGGAAGGCCCACGTCGGCAAGATGCAGAAGTCGCTCAAGCGCACGCCCGACTTTTCCAAGGGCACGCGTAGGTCCACCTCGTCGGCGGCGGCAGGGTCGTCCACGGGCGGCGGCGGCGGCGGCGGCGGCGGCGGCGGCGCGAGCGGCTCGTCGTGGTCGTCCGGCGCGCAGCAGGGCGGCAAGCGGCCGGCCGAGGACTCGGGCCACCTGAGCGCGGCGCTGCGCAGCAAGGAGCAGTACCGCGGGCATGCGGCGCCGTCGGGCAAGCGGCGCAGGGTGCGGGGCGGCGGCGCGGCCGGCAGCAACGGTGCGGCGGCGCGGTCGGGAGCGGCGGCGCAGGGCGGCAAGGCGCTGTTTGCGGCGGCGACGGGCGCCAACCCCGAGGCGTTCGAGGCGGACGTCGACAAGATGGCCGACATGTGCGTCCTCCTCGTCCTCCTCGTCCTTCCTCGCCCGAGTCCCTCGACCGACACCCTGACCGCCCCGTGCGCCACGCAGGGTCGACTCGTTCGGTGCGCCGTCGAGCGTTGACGCCGAGCAGCTCGTCGAGGACGAGGCGTTCGACGAGGTCGCGTTCGCCGAGTACTTTGGCATCATCGAGAACGACGACCTCGTCATCATCCGGCCGTACCTCGGCGACGAGGACGACCGCGTCCTCGACGAGCTGCGCCCCAAGTACGTGATCATGTTCGACCCGCTCCCGGCGTTCGTCCGGCGTATCGAGGTGCGCCCCTCTCTCTCCTCCTGCCTCGCTCCTCGTCTCGTGGACGCCCCGACTGACTCGCCGCTCACCCTCGCTGCAGACGTACCGTGCGGCGCACCCTGGGCTCGCCATCCGCGTCTACTTCCTCGCGTACAAGGACTCGGTCGAGGAGCAGAAGTACCTGAGCGAGATCCGCCGCGAGAAGGACGCGTTCGTGCGGCTCATCGAGGAGAAGGGGGTGCGTCGACTGGTCCTCTCTCTCTGACAGTCTCGGCGGGCGTGAACTGACGACGGACCGGTCTCGCAGACGATGGCGATCCCGCACGAGGCCGAGTACCGGCCCGAAGAGCACGAGGAGGGCCTCCTGCGCACGGTGTCTTCCTCGCGCGTCGGCGGCGGCAAGTCGGCGACGACCGAGCCTCAGCAGGTGCGTCCTCCTCTCTCCGTCTCGCGCAGGTCCTCCTCGGGCACGGCCTGACACGGTCGCCGACGCGCAGGTCATCGTCGACATGCGCGAGTTCCGCTCGACGCTCCCGTCGCTGCTCCACGGCGCACGGTTCCTCGTCAAGCCCAAGACGCTCGGTATCGGCGACTACATTATCACGCCCGACATGGCCGTCGAGCGCAAGAGCATCCCTGACTTGATCCAGAGTTTCACCTCGGGCCGACTGTGCGTCCTCCCTCTCTCTCTCCCTCCTCTCTCGTGCGAGCCCGATCGGTTACTGACTCGGCTGGATGGTCTCAACAGGTTCCAGCAATGCGAGCTCATGACGGCGCACTACAAGGAGCCGATCCTGCTCATCGAGTTCGACGAGAAGAAGTCGTTCAACCTCGAGGTGCGTCCCCTCGTTCCTCCTCCTCGACGCGACGAGCCCGTCGCGCGCAGGAGCCTGACACTGCCGCACCCTGTACCGCAAACCGCAGACGTACGTCGAGACGCGCACGCGCACCGAGAACTCGCAAGACGCCGACCTGCGCTCAAAGCTCGTCCTCCTCACGATCGCGTTCCCAAAGCTGCGCCTCATCTGGTCCTCGTCGCCGTACCAGACGGTCGAGATCTTCCGCGACCTCAAGGAGGGCCGCCCAGAGCCGGACGAGGACCACGCTGCGCTCGTCGGCAACGACGACGGCGACCTCGTCGGCGGCGGTGCGGGTGCTGAGGGGAGCACGGCGGGCAACCCGACGCCGATCGAGGTCCTGCGGCAGCTGCCCGGCGTGTCGAGCAAGAACTACCGGTACCTCGCTGGCCAGGTCGACAACCTCGAGGCGCTCGTCGCGCTCGGCCTCAACGAGCTCCAGGCCCTCATCGGCAACGAGCCGGCCAAGCAGCTGCACGGGTTCATGACGACCGACCTGCACTACTCGTGAGCGGGTGCGAGGGGCGACGAGGGGTGCCGTAGCTTGTTGTTGTCACACGCTTGAGCCAGAGCGGGCGAGCGAGAGGCGCGAGTGCGAGCTCGCGAGAGAGCGACCTTGCGAGCGAGCGGTTCTCGAAACTCTTCTCTCGCACAGCGCACGCACGACGATGCACACCCGTCCATTACGCACGCGAGAGTGATACAGCAGCGAGCCTCCCTGCCCCTCGAAAGCGCTCTGCCCCTCCCGCACGAGCCTCTCTCTTCCTCCTTCTCCCTCCTCACGCCGTCGCACCGTAGGTCGTCTGGCCCTGCGAGTGCACGGCGCCATAGTGGCCGTGTGCCGGCGTGTGGCCGCCGTACGGCTGCTGCTGCGGCGCCGGGACGTAGTGGGCCTCGACGGGAGCTGCGGGAGGGGAGGGGCGAGGGTCAGCTCTGGGCGCGAGGGAAGGTCACCGAGGAGGAGCGAAGTACGAGGACGGACCGTACTCTGCGTTGCCGAGGTACTCGTAGTTGCCCGGGCCGAACCGCTCGTCGGCCTGCATCTTCTTGTAGATGAGGAAGAAGGCGTGGATGTGACCCTGCAGCCCGGCAGACGTACGCTCGAGGTCAGCTGTGGCCGCTCGGGACGGGGGAAGCAGGAGGGAAAGGGCGTCGGACCGGGATGTAGCCGAGGATGGTCAAGAGGACCGAGATCCAGAAGTCGGCCGAGCACACGCCGCCCTGCAAGTGCGTGAGGAGGAGGAGGAGGGGAAAGGGAGGGTCAGTTTCCACGCGGCGGGGCTGTCGCGGGTGGGGACGCACGACAATGGCGGCGGCCGCAGGCGGGAAGATGACGGCGACGAGGATGAGGAGGACTGCAGGGAGGGAGGGTCAGTGAGGGAGGAACTCGAGGAGCAAAAGGGGAGAGAGGACGGACTGTCGGACGTGCGGACCATGTTGTGCGGCTGCAGGGGCGAGTACAGTCAGTCTCGGTGATCCACGCGCGGCTTCGACTGCTAGAAGGACGCAGAGAAGGGCCAGAGACGAAGGCAGCACCGCCCCCGCGTCCGCCCTCTTCGAAGTCGGCCCTGCAGCGCCGCGCGCTGCGCCCAGCCTCTCTGGCCTCCTTCTGCGCGACCCTCGCCTGGTGTGCTGCCCGCTCCGGTGGCTGTCGTGCGCGAGGCGGCGTGGCTTGGCCCAACTCGATCACGCGGTGCGCGGGCGACGACGCGGAGAGGGGAGGCCGGGGACGTGGTCGCGAGCAGGGACAGAGAAGGTCGAGCGCACCGGTGGAAGTCGGTCGCAGGCAGTCGAGTGGCGAGGCGAGTGTGGGAGGAAGGCGAGAGGCTGCGGGCGAGATGACGAAGGTGAGCGCGACACAGGTGCCAGCTCGCTCTCAGCTCGACCTGTGGTCTGTGCGGCTCAGCCCGTGAGCTTCTCCTGCAGTCCAGTAGCCCTAGCCTGGCGCTTGTTCGGACGACCAGAGGCGGTGTTTTCGCTGCACGTGCCGGCGGAAGCGGCGACGCCGTTTCGATCGGAGGGTCGGGCGGAACCTCTCCCACCTCGCTCTTCAGCCTCCTGCTGCCCCAGAGCTCGTTGCGTTCCGCAAGTACACGCTGCACGCATGGCCGGCCGCGCACACGGCGACGCCGCCAAGCGGCGAGCGTCCTCCTCGTCCTCGACTCGGCCACACCCTTCGCTCGACGCCCCGGCCCACAACCAGCCTCAGCACGACTCGGCGCACGGCCAGAACAAGGGCAACTGGCGCAACAAGCTGCCGGGCCTGTTCGCGGGACCCATCAACGGTGCGTCCACCCTCTGTTTCCCTCGGCGACGACGACAGCTCACTCTCTCGCCCCCACCGACAGCCCTCTTCCCTGCGTTCACGCCAAACCCGCTCTACGACACCGCGCCGTCGTTCATCGCCGCCGCACACCGTCGATCCGCCTGGCGCAACCGCAAGGTCCTCCTCAGGACGATGCTCGTCTTCCTCGGCGGCTTCGTCCTCATGCTCGAGCGGGCGTCGCTCCAGGTCCTCGGCAACGCGTCCTTCTTCGCAGGGATCGTGACCGTCATGCTCCCGCCTATGTTTGCGCCTCAAGTCTTCCTCCTCGCCGCGGCCACCCTCGTCGTCGGCCAGTGCATCGGCTGGGCGTGGGGCTGCGCGGCCATGGTGGCGTCGTTGCGGGCCCGCGACCAGGTGCTCTTGCTCAGCCAAGTGCAGCGCGCGCAAGCCGGGTGCGTCGCCTCGCCTCTCTCGTCTCGTCTCCCCGCAACCCGCGACCAACCTGACCTTCTTCTTTCCCGCTCGCCCACAGCATCGCCGGCGCGACAAACCCGGACGTCGAGTACCGGCGCGAGATCTTCGAGGGCGCCTTTCTGTCGTGGCGGTCGACGCTCGTGCACGGCTTCTTCTTCGCCGTCGGCCTGTTCGCCCTCGGCCTCATCCGGGCAAAGATGCCCAAGTTGATGATCCTCAGCATCTTTGGCACCATCGTCCTCGACATCATGTGCTCGTACGGGCCTCTGTTCCCTGTTCAGCAATACACCCTCGCGACGACGTTCCTCAGTGCGTCGCAGCGGTCCTCTTCCCTCTCTCCTCAGGCCGCACGACCTGACTCTTGCCCCACCTGCAGTCCCGACCGCGTGCTACCTCGCCATCGCCCTCGCCGGGACCATTCTCATCTTTCCGCAGACGCTCAACTACTCGTGGACGTGCGTCCCACCTCTCTGCGCGGTCCCGCACGAGCCCCGAGCCCTGACCCCGTCCCTCTCTCCCTCTCTCTTCCCTGCAGGACCGACCTCGTCGACAAGTTCCTGTCGCCCGTCCTGCAGCGCTCGCACCTCCACTCGCGCCTCCTGCACGAGCAGCCGCCGTCGTTCGACCCTGCCGCCGGCGACGCCCCCTCGCCCTGGTCGCCGTTCACCTCGGTCGTCCTGTCGACCCAGGAGGCCATGTCGTCGGCCCTCGAAGGCCTCCTCGGCGGCATTGGCATGCTCGAGCTCGAGGTGTCGTTCGGTCGACTCGGCGCAAAGGACCTCAAGAGCCTCGCCGACAGCTTGCGCGAGCTGCACGTGCGCGGCGTTGGGCTCGCCGTCCTGTTCACGACGGTCCAGTCTGGCTACGAGGTGCGCCCCCCTTTCTCTCTCTCCTTCCCCGTCAAGCTGGAGTCGGAGCTCACGAGGTGACCGTGCCTGCAGCACCGCATCGAGCTCTCGTCGTCCCGCGACAAGCACGAGCACGGCTCGGACACGCCGACGCGCAAGGCCAAGTCGCCTCGTGGCGGCGGCGCCGACGAGCGTCCCTTCACCGAGACGGCGCGCATGCAGCGCGTGCGCGAGCGCCTCGGCGGCGCCGAGCGCCAGAACAAGCACGACCTCGGGTCGCTCCTGCCCGTGTTTGCGTCGGCGTCGCACGACCTGCGCGAGGCGAGCGACGGCGCCCTCGTCGCCGCCATGGACTGGCTCACGGCGCAGAACGACTCGCGGTGGCGGTACGTGTCGCGCGGCAAGGCGCAGGAGGCCGACCGGTTCGCCGACCTCCAGGCCCAGGTCGAGCGGCTCGAGCGCGAGATCGACTTGTACCGCTCCGAGCGCCGCAAGGCCGTCCTCGAGCCGTTTGCCGACTTTTTCGACCCGCACACGGGCCACCTGAGGCCGTTTGCCGAGCGCGGGCCCGACAAGCTGTTTGCGCCCGGCTCGCTCTTCACGATCCTCGCCGCGTCCGACAACCTGACGCAGTACTCGACGGCCGTCCTGTCGTTCTCGTCGCACCTGTCGGCGCTCGCCGAGCGCCGCCGCACCAACCACCTGTGGCTCCCGAGCGGCCTGCGCCGGGTCGGCAACCTCGTCAAGGGGCGACACGGCGAGTCGGGCCCGACCGCGCTCGGCGACGGCGAGGACCCGGACAGCGTTCCCGACGTCGGCGACGAGTCGGACGAGGAGGAGGACCACCCGGTGCTGCAGAAGAAGGAGCAGAAGAGGAAGAAGAACAAAGACGACAAGCCCAAGACGAGGTTCGAGGAGGTCATGGAGAAGAGTTGTGCGTCCCCTCTTGCTCTCAGTCCTCGTCTTTGCTCTCTCCGAGGATTTACCAGCAATGCCGGGTCCACGCAGACTTTGACGCCGAGGCCCGACCGCCCAAGAACGCCCTGCAGCGCGGCACGCGACGGCTCGACCGCTTCTTCCGGTGGTGGGCCTCGCCCGACGCCATCTTTGCGCTCAAGTACGTCGTCGGGTCGATCTGTATCTGGTTGTTCCAGGTGTTCCCGTCGACGGCCTACCTGTCGTACTCGCAAAAAGGTGCGCCTCTCGCTCTCTCTCTCTCTTGCCTCGTCCGCTTTCTTCGTACAGGCCGACAGGGACTGACACGCCCCTCGATCCCACAGTGCTCTGGACCTTGATCACGTTCCAGGTGCGCCCTCTCTCCCTCCCTCATCCTCGAGGCGGGCTGCCCACGACGACGCGCTGACCCTCCCCATTTCCTCTCCCTCCCCTCTCACGCCTCCTCTCTCTGCCCCTCTCGCCCCCTTTCCCACTCGTGCCCTCGCCCGCACAGACCTTCCTTGCGCCCAACGCGGGCGACCAGATTCTGTCGACGCTTCAACGCTGTGCCGGAACGGTCGTCGGGCTCGTCTACGGCATGCGTGCGTCCTTGCTTTCTCCCTCTCTCTCTCTCTCTCTCTCTCTCTCTCTTATCCCCGAGGATGCATCGACCTGACCGTAGCTTTCGTGCGTGCGCAGTCATCTGGTACATCGGCGCCGGTCGAGGAGACGGGACCCGTCCCGGAATCGGCGCCGCCCTCTTCGTCTTGATGATCCCGTGGTTCGCAGTCCGCTTGTACGCGCCGCCGTCGTCGGCCATGTTTGGCATCATGGCGGCCGTCACGAGCGTCCTCATCGTGCGTCCTCTCTCCCTTGTCGCGCTCGTGGTCGTCGAGCGCAGAGCGAGCCTGACTTTGCCTCGCACCCGAACCAGGTCGGATACAGCTGGCAAGACACGCACCTTCCTGCGCTCGGCAACCCGGGCGTCGGCTACAGCGTCGCATGGAGGGTGCGTCGCACCTTTTCCTCCCTCTCTCGACGACCCGATCGCGCTCGGCGACCTCGATCCTGACCTCGCCCTCACGCCCGCAGCGAGCCCTCCTCGTCCTCATCGGTGCTGTGCGTCCTCGTCCCCGCTACGCCTTCATCTCTCCTCGTCACCCACTGACGACGTTCCGTCGCTCGCTCGCAGGGCATCGCCGCCGTCTTCCTCCTCATCCCGCCCCAGTCGAGCCGCCGGCTCGTGCGCCGCACGCACGCGACGTGCGTCCACGAGCTGGGTCGCCTCTACACCGCCATCGTCTCGGAGTGGCTCAGCGAGGAGGGCTACGACGAGTCGGCGTCGGTCGACCGGGAGCGCGACGGGTCCAAGGAGGGCGCCGACCTGCGCGAGAGGGACGAGCCGTTCTCGGCGGCAACGCGCCAGGTTGGACGGGCCAAAATGCTCGCTCTGCGAGGTGCGTCGTCTCGTCTCTCTTTCTCTCGTGCACCGAACCCCTGATTGATCCTGTTCCGTCTACCTCGCAGTCAAGCTCAACTCGTCGCGGATCGCCATCGAGCAGGCGGCGTTCGAGCCCTCGCTGCGCGGCGACTGGCCCAAGGACAACTACACGCGCCTCCTCACGCTGCAGCTCGCGCTCCTGCAGGCGCTGGCGCAGCTCGCGCAGGCCCTCATCCGCCTCGACCACACGTGGCGCGAGCGGCTCGTGCACGAGACGGCGTTCCTCAACCAGCCTCTCGTCCGTCCCTCTCTCTCTCTCTCTTCCGGGCGAGGGACTTGTCGAGGTGACAGCGCTGACCTCGCTTGCCCCCTCGTCGTCGCTGCAGATCGCCGACGTCACGACCACGTTCACCCTCGTGCGCCCTCCTTTCTCTATCTCTCGAGCTCGCGACGAGGACTGACACGCCCTCTTTGCGTCCGCAGATCTCGCTCGCCCTGCGCGAGGGCGCTCCCCTGCCTGAAGCGACGCCCGGCCCCCTGCTCGACCGCCTCCTCCAGCACGACCGGCGCCTGCGCCTCTTTTCCGAGGGCGGCATGCCCTCCTCCTCGCGCGCGCCCGCACACGACCCCGCGCACGACGACGACGACGACGACGACGACGTCAACCATGCCGACGAGGCGCACGGCGCGTCGGTCGAAGGCGCGCGCGTCGGCTCGTTCGCGCTCACGCTCTCGGTCCTGCGCGACGAGCGGTTCGCGGCGTACGCGGCGGCGCTCCAGGCGCTCGCGGGCATCCTGCGCGACTGCGACGCGCTCGAGCGCGAGGTCAAGCGCCTCGTCGGCGAGACGAGGTTCCCGGGCTATGCAGCACTCAGGGCTAGGGAGCGGGTCGAGGGGGTCTGAGCAAGCGAGGAGGGCTGGTAGATGTTCGGGGCTCGTGTAGAACGGTGTTCTCGGAGCGCGACCGCGAGGAGAGAAAGCCGAGCCGAGGGAAAAGCCTGAGAGTTGGTGACCGGGTTGTCGGACGAGAAGTCGGGTCCGACGAGGAAGGCGCATGCATGTGTGCACGAGGCGAGCAAGCGAGAGGCGGCCTGGCGCTCGAGGAGAACATGTACAGGCGGCGCAGGCTTGCGAAAGAAGAGAGCCCCCGGCGCGTCGCGGTTGTCCTCGTCGGAGCAGCCGCACAGCTGGAGGCAAGCTGGCCTCCTCCCGCCGCGCCGAGCGACCTCGGCCCTTGGTTGCCTCCCCCCTCTTGCACCAGGGTCCGAGCAGCACCAGCGCCAGCACCAGCACTACAGCCACCCGCACTGCCCCGTCTCGCCCCTGTCCCGACCCACCCACGAGGTTCCGGCCCGCCCGCTCCTCCGTCCCACGCCTCACCCGAGGCGCGTCCGGCTGCAGCCCACCCTGCTCGGGCATGGTCGAGGATAAGCCTCTGTCGTCGTCTGGGCGCAAGAAGGCCCCGTCCCGTCAAGCCCACGCCTGCCCCGTCGTGCGCCCTCCCTCTCCTCTCTCTCTCTCTCGACCCCGCACCATCTCCCACTCGCCCTTTCCCTCAGGCGAGCCGTTCGCTCACTAAGACCGCCTCCCCCTCGCAGTGCGGCAGCGTGTACAGCCGTGCCGAGTTTGTTCGTGTGAGTCGCACGCGCCCCCTCGTCCTCGCCCCCCATCTTTAGACCCGCAGCGCAAGCTGACCAACCCTCGCCGCCCACAGCGCCATTTCCTGTCCAAGCACTCGCCAAAACCTCTCGCGTGCACGAGCTGCGACGCCACCTTTTCGCGGCGCGACCTCCTCCAGCGCCATGTCAAGCTGTTCCACCCGGACTGCGAGGTGCCGAGCCCGGCAGAGACGGGCGCCGAGCCCGACATCCCGGCGCCTGTCCCTGTCCCGTCCCGCTCAGAGAGCGCGGCGAGCTACGCGTCGTCGACGAGCGACGTGACGGGCGGCGCGACCGGCGCCCTTTTCGGCAACTGGATCTCGTCGTCGCCCGAGCCCATGGCCGGCGGCGCCATGCTCCCCGGCGGCCCTGCAGGCGCCATTGCCGCCGACGAGCTGCGGCTCCCGACGCCGCCGTTGCCGCATGGCGGCCAGTCGACCTCCTCGTCGCAGCGCACGGCGACGTACCCACCTCCTCGCATGCCGTACCAGCCCTACCACGCCCCGTCCCTCCCACCACCCTCGTTCCCGCACACGCCCACCCTGCGCGGCTACCCTCCCCTCTCGCAATCCTCCTTCTCGTCCTCGACCACCACGTCGACCCTCCCGCCGCCACCAGCGCCGTACCGCGCTTTTACCGCCCCGGCAGGGTACGACCCGACGGGCGCGCTCGCCTTTTCGTCCTCGAGCCTCGAGTCGATCCCCGCCTCGGCTGGCCCGTCGCGTCAGGCGTCGTACTCGGACGCGGCCGTCCAGACCGACCTGCGCGCGACCCACATCCCGCACTCGCACCCGCACCCGCACCCGCACCCGCACCCGCACCCGCACCCGCACCCGCACCCGCACCCGCACTCGCACCAGGCGTACGCGCACGCACTTCACCACCACGACCAGCAACCGGGCGGCAGCAGCAGCAGCGGCGGCGGTGGCGGCGGCGGTGGCGGCCTGCCGGGCATGCCCGGCCCGCCCATGAGCGACGACGCGCTCGCGGCGCTCCTGCAGCGCATGGCGCCGCACCCGAGGGCTCAGTACGGTGCTTCGCACCCGCATGCGCACGGCGGCGGTGGTGGTGCGGCCGGCGCAGGATCGTCGCACATGCTCCAGTCGCCTCCGCCGACGATGCACCAGCAGCAGTCGCCGTCGCTGCAGCACGCACACACGCACGCGCACGCGCATGCGCACGCGCCGCCGCAGCTCGCCGCCTCGCACCCGCACCCGCAGACGGTGAGCATGGCGACGCTGCAGGCGTTCGGGCTCGGGCTCGGCGCCATGCCGTACCCGCTCCAGCTCCCGCCGACGCGGCAGCGCCAGCCGTCGGCGGGCGGTCACCCGCACCCGCTCGGCGCGCACGAGCAGCCGCACCTCCAGCAGCAGCAGGCGCCGCCGCCGTCGTGGGGTTGAAGAGCCTCGCTCGTTGCCACGTCCCTCTCTCTCTCGATACCCCTTTACCTTGTCTCGTCGCGCCCTCGTTCGCCCTTCCTCGCGCCTGTCGGTCCAACCTCGTTCTCCCTCTACCCTCGCAACCATAGACGCCTCTCTCTCGTTCCCCCTTGTACTGCACAGACACTCCTTCCCCTCCCCTCCCTCCTCTTCGCCTTTCCACCCCCGTGTCGCTCCGCCTTGTCGCGTTTCCCCTTCTCCTCTCCTACCCTCGTATGACTCGCTAGCTCTGTGTGCAAGACACTTAGACTCGTCCGAGCGCGCCCTGGCGAGTGGGCGAGAGAGAGAGTGAGGCAAGCCCCTTCCGAGAGCTCGCGCGCGCTCAGGCCTCTTCGTTACCGGGCTGTCACGCCGAGCTCGAGCGCCGCAGATGGCACTCTCGAGCTTCTGTGACAGCGCCTGCCCGAGAGCCCGGCTGCGCGAGACGAACGGTGACCCGGGAGCTGCGAGGGGCCGAGCGAGCGAGCGAGCGAGCGAGTGAGCGCCGTCGCCCGATGCTCGAGGATTCTGTGGCCGGCCTTAGCGAGGACGCTGTGTGGACAAAGAGAGTGCAGAGACGCGCACGACGGCGAGAGCTACGGTCGAGGAGCGAGAGCTGGTCGGGCAGGTCAGGGGCGAGGCGCGCGCGAAGCATTCGAGCGGTGCGCCCGGGCTATGCTGTCGAGCTCCATACCCTCAGCGCTCTCGTACGCGGCAGAGGGCCGTCCTGCAGGTGCTGTCAGAGGCGCGCATTGAGCACCGGACGAGCTGCAGGCGGCCTTCTCAGTTGGCGTACCGAGCTTTCGTCAAGCCCTCTCGCGAGCTCCACATCTCTCGCACGCTCGCCAAGAGACATTCACACAAAGCACAAAGACGCTGCACTGCAAAGCTGCGACCCCCGACCGTGACCGACAAGCTCTCTCCCAACCCTCCCGGAACAAGCGCTCCCTCCTGCTGCCGCGCCGCGCCCCGCTCTCGCTCACGCGACCAAGCCCTCGAGCCACCCGCCGACGTCCTCCTTCCACTTGGCGAGCCCGTCGAGCGCCTCGCGCACCTCGCGCACGAGGTCCTTGGGCGCTGGGCCGGCGGGCACGACGGGCTTTGCGGCCGCGGCGGCGCTCGACGCGGCCGCCTTACCCTTGCCCTTGCTCTTGGCCGGGCCAGTGGCGACGGGAGCCGCAGAGACGGCCGCGTAGTCGTACACGGGCGGCTGGTACGGCTCGAGCTGGTGCGTGCCGGCCGTGTTGTTGTACGAGGGCGTCCAGGCCGTGAGGCGCGGGTCGAGCGCAGCCCAGGTCGCGAGCGTCGACTCGATCGACTCGCGGTGGAGGAGGAAGTGCGAGAGGATGACGTCCTGCGCGCACGAAAGGAGTCAGTGTGCCGCTCGAGGAAGAGGAACAGGAGGAGAGCAGGCGAGGATTGAGGACGAACTGCCCAAATCGAGTCCTTGAACTTGTCGCCCTGGATCCAGTCGAGGATGGCCCACCGAGTCGTCGCGAGCGAGCAGTTCTTGTTGTAGTCTGCGCACGCACCAGGCTCGTCATCAGTCAGGTGCAGGCGACGCAGAGAGTGAGAGGAGTGGGACGCGCTCTGGTTGCGCAGGTCATTCCGCGGCGCGCCGAAGCCGGGCTCTGTGTCTCGCCGTCCGGGTCAGTCGACGACGATGACGACGGGGATAGAGAGAGGTGAAGCGAACCGTTGTAGAACGGGTAGTTGGTGCTGCGCACGACCGAGAAGGAGTCACTTTGCGGCGAGTGAGGGCCCGAGGCAGAGAGGTTCGAGCGCACCCGAGGATCATGGACGTGATGCTGAGGAGGACCTGGAGGAGCGTGCTCTTGTACGGCTGCCACATCTCCTCGGGCGCCCCGCTCCAGGTGCCGAGCAGGCTCCTGCGAAACGAGCAGGGTCAGTAGGCCGGTCGGCATCGGGCGACGAGGAGGAGACAGAGAGAGTGGGACGCACAGGCAGACCTTGCCCTCCTTGTACAGATTGGGGTTGAACCGGCACGTCTCGCCGCCCGTCGTGCGGAGCCAGCAGGTCGGGCTCACCTGCGGGTACTGGAGCGGCAGGAAGATGTCGAACTCGAACAGCCCGCCCGCGTACGGCGAGTGCTCGGGCCCAGCGATTAGGCACTTGATGACGTCGATGCGGCTCTCGTCGACCCGGACCCAGATGCCCGGCGGCAGCGATGTTGACAGAACGGCCAGTCCTGCGGCGAGCGCGAGGAACTCGTCGTGCGACCTGCGCGACGAGTCGATGGCGATGATCTCCTTGTGGTAGTGGCTGTGCGAGGCGAGGCAAGGCGCGACGTTAGGTGACGAGGTCGAGGCGAGGAGACGAGAGGAAGAAGGGACGCACTGAGACGGGAACGTCCTCGCCGCCGTCCCGAGCTCGAAGTTGGCGTACGCGAGCTTGGCGCACGCCTTGTCGTACTCGTCGCGGGTCCACTCGCGCGCCTTGCTCTTGCCCTTGGCCGCGCCGCGTCCGGGGCTCGGGCTCGACCTCGCGCGGCCGTCCTCGCCGACAGGTTGCCGCGCGCTGTACACGCGCTCGAGGGTCTTGAAGCGCTCGCCGGCCGTCGCAAAGTCGCCGCAGATGCCGACGAGCGCGGCGTCGGCGTCCGTGTCGTCAAAGGCGCCCGACGTGGCGGCGCGCCGAAACGCCTCGGCCTGGACCGTGAGCTTCTTGAGGAGCGCGTACAGGCTGCAGGTGAGAGCGCAAAACGACGAGTCAGGAACCAGTGGCAGGAGGGGCGAGAAGAGAGGGAGGGAGAACGCGAGACGCACGGTGTCGCGAGGATGACGTGGCCCGAAAGCTCGTCCTCCTCCTCGACCTGCTTGACCTTCCTCCTCTTCGTCGCGCGCCCCGCACGCGTGCCCGTGCCACCCGCCCCGAGCCCCTCGGAGCCCGTCGCTCCCGCCGTCCTCGCCCACCCGATCTCGCCCTCGCCCCTCATCCACCTCCCGACGCCCTCGCTGAACGCCTTGTCCCTCCTGCGCCCAAACACGACGCCGAGCGTCGTCTCGCACGCGCCGAGCGCCTCGAGGACGGCGAGCATGGCAAAGTAGACGTCGGCGCGGCGGGTCCACTCGACGACGCTGTCGTTGCGCAGGAGCTGGGCGAGGAGGTCGGGCAGGCACGACGCCTCGAGGAGGGGCGCGAGCGACGCGTCGGGGAGGTAGTCGTAGAGCTTGGCGGTGGGCGAGTCGGGCTTGGGGAGGAGCGCCGAGAGGTGCTTGAGGGCGACGAGGAAGAGCGGGTCCAGGGCGAGGTCGGCGGCGGGGACGGCCTCCTTCTTGCCGTGCTCGGCGACACGGGCGGCCTGCAGGTGAGAGACTTTGTCAGTCGCACATCCGGCGCCGCGAGGACAGGACACAGGGTCGAGGACGAGGGGAAGCCCAACGGGCGCACGCACCTTCTTCTCCTCGACCATCTTGTCGTGAATCGCCTGCTGCTCTTCCCAGAACGCGTCCTCGGCCTCGTCGCCGTCAAACTCGGGCGCGACAATGTCGTCCATCCAGCTGCAGTCCTCGTCGAGGTAGTAGTCGTCCTCGTCGTCGCCGACCGAGTAGCCCGTCCCCGCGCCCGCGCCGAACGTCGTGCCCGAGCCGTAGCCCGTGCCGGCGCCCGTGCCGCTCGGCGTCGCCGTGACGACCTTGCCCTTGCCCTTGGACGTCGAGGCGACGACGCGCTTCTTCTTGCTCGTCGCGACGGGCCCGGACGAGCTCGCGGCGGCGGTCGTCGCGGTGGTCGAGGTCGTCGCAGGGCGCGCGAGGTACTCGGTGAGGTACACGGCGTCGAGGGCCGACAGGAGCTGCGGGTTCGTCGGGGCGCGAGTGAGCTGGACAGTCTCGAGGAGTACGCAGTGAGGCGAGAGGGCGAGACGCACCTCAAAGACGGCGATGGCGCGCCCGACGGCGCAGCACTCGCCGGCCGCCCTGCCCTCCGGGTCGTTGTCGCCGAGCGGGACCCAGCACCCGACGCAGAGCGTGCACGCGCAGGACGGGCAGGCGGTTGTGGTCGCGTCGAGGAAGGTCGAGAGCGGCGTCGAGGCGGCGAGCTGGGGCTGCAGGACGTGCTGATAGTCAGTCGGCGCCAACACAACTTCAACGGCTAGCGACGAGACGAATAGTCGACACGCCGCAAGGGAGGGAAGCTCGTGGCGACGCACCGTCTCCGTCTCGACGCTCACGCCCGCGCCGCACCCGCCGCACGTCCCCTTGCGCCCGAGCAGCGCCTCCCTGTGCCCCTCGAGCATGACGAGCGGGTCGTCCATGTCCTTCTTGCGGCGGAGCGCCGACGCCGCCGCCGGGCTCGACGAGACGACGACGAGCGACGACGAGGCCGACGAGCGGCGCTTGCGGGTCGAGCGGCGCGCCGAGGTCGAGGGGCCGGGCATGAACTGTGTGCGTGGGAGGCCCGAGCCGTCAGTGTCTGTCTGCGCATCGTACAAGTGCAGGTTGGGCGCGAGGAGGTCCCGGCTTGTGGGGGAGGAGCCTCATGCCCGCGAGCGAGTCCAACACGGGCACGCCTGCAAAGAGAGGGGGATAGAGTGAGGGCGCACCTGGTCCTCCTGCATCGCCTGGTCCTCCTCGTCCTGGAGCCTCCTTGCCATCGCCTCGTCCGGGTCCATCTCGCCGTCCTCCTCGACCACCGCCGCCGTCGCCGTCGCCGCCGCCTTGCCCTTGCGCGCACGCTTGGCGGGGAGCTTCTTGTGCGGCGGCGCGACGACCTCGAGGCTGTCGTCCGAGTCGGCGGGGTCCGGGTCGGGGTCGGGCGTCGAGTGAGTGAGGTCCAGTGACGACGTTAGGGTTTTGGGGGTGGTGCGGGCGCGCTTGGAGCGGCGCAGTGGGGTCGCCATGGTGTGCGAAGAGCTCTGCGTCGCGCTGCGCCTGGTGGCTAGGCGCGCGACGGGTGAGGAGGAGCGAGAGCGAGGGAGCTTTGTGGGGAGGACGGCGACGACCGACTCACGCTCGAGCTTTCGCCGAGGCGGGCCGGCCCAGCTCGCTTTGTGCTCTACGACAGCCTCTCGAGAGTTTCCAGTCGTGCTCAAACTTCGCGAGCCACGTCCGCAAGCTCTCGACCGAGAGCACGTGAAACGCCTGCTCTCGCACGGCTCGACTCTCTCTCGCTCGGACAACAGCACGGCATACTGCAGAGAGACGACGGCGACACGGCTACAGACATGCACAGAGACGTACGAGAGAGAGAGGTATAGAAGCGAGGGAGCCGAGGGGAGGGGAAGGACGGAAAGAGAGGGACTCAGGAGACGACGCAGCACGCACAGCACGCCTCGTCGTCGTCGTCGGCCGTGCCCGCCTTGACCTTGCCTGTGCAGTCCCCGTCACGATCACGCAGAGTCAGTCCTGCCTCGAAAGGGAGAGGAAGACTCAGGCCCGAAGAGACCGTCGACGCACCTCCAGGTTTGGCGTCCGGCGGCCGCAGCGTGCGGATCTGGAGGTGCACGACCGTTGGGCGGGCGTCTTTGGCCGTGTCGTCCTGGTCGAACGCGTGTGAGAAGAGGCCGGCGTCTGCTTGGGTGACGAGGGAGGGTGCGCGTGAGCGAGGGGAGGGGGAGGCGGGCGAGAGGGAGAGGGCGGGCGCACCGGACAGGGTCGACTCGGGCTCGAGGAAGCGGCCGAGGTGGAGCCTGTGCGTCAGGCGTGCAGCACAGTCAGTCCCTGCGGTGAGGTGCTCGAGTGACAGCCTGCGAAAGAGAGCGAGACGCACAGTCTCAAGTCGCTCGCGCTCGCCGGCGCCGGATCCGACGCACGCCACTCTGCGGACGTGGCCACCTCGGTCAGTGGACGCTCGCGAGTGAGAATCCGAGCGAGAGGAGGGGACACACCAGCCGGCCAGTCGCTCCACACCCTCTCGATGAGCTGCTCGACCGTCTCGGCCCTCGACACCTGGACGCGCCTGCGCTTGCCCGACAGGAGCAGCAGCTCGAGCTCGGCCGCGCCGCCTTGTCCACCGCCCGTCTCGACCGGGGCCGCCTTGAGCGAGAGGGTCGACGTCGCATCGAGCGCGGCTGACGTGCTCGAAGGCGCGGGAGGGCCCGAGAAGGGCGGAGGGTGAGGGGCGACGGCGGTGGTGGTGGCGGGTTTGCGGTCGATTTCCTGCATGGCGCGGCGGCGACGCGGAGGGGACAAGGGGGGCCGAGACGGTCGCTGCGCCTGGCGGCACGGGGCGCGCGAGGCTGGCTCGAGGTCGGGCGAGCGGGAGATGTGGGGGGAACTCGACGAGGGCTGCGAGGCGAGGGCTGCTGGGCACGGATCGCTGTGGGACGCGAGACTGTCAGTGCGTGTCTGACTGTTCACTGCAGGGCAGACTCGCGCACATGAGGTGGTGTGGCGGCACTTGACGCCGGTTTAACCTTGGCGAGCGGCGATGAGGACTGAGGGCGAGGTCGAGAGGTCGCGTGCGCTGCGTCCCGCCGGCAGTGGCGCAGCAAGGGCGGTGCTTGACAGCTGCTAAGCGTATACAACAGCACTCAGCGCGTGTCGAGGGTGTGGGCGAGGAGCGAGCTGCCCTGGAAGTCGTCCCGCCCTCTTCCGCCTCCAACAACACAACACCGCTGCTGCCCAGCTAGCCGCGCACAGCCATGAGCACCTCGACTCGCCAGCTCTCAATCAAGGCCGGCGTCGTCACCCGGTCCGTCCCCTCTCCTCCCGCTCCTCCTCTTCCTCTCGGTCCCTCAACCTCATCGCGCGACCGCTCCCCTGACCACCGCTCGCACGCCCACAGGCTCGCCAAGGACGTCAAGGGCTACCGGGCAGAGGCCGAGGCGCAGATGGCCAAGGTCGCACAGATGGAGGCCGACTCGGCCGACGAGTACGAGCTGCGCGCACAGGTGCGCTCTCTACCTTTCTCTCCCTCGCGCGAGCCTCTCTGTCTCGAAGCTTACCTTGCCCCTCGCACGTACAACCCGGTCTCGGCACGCTCGCAGCGTCGCGTCCTGGCCGAGGGCGAGGCCATGGTTCCCGACGCCGAGCAGCGCCTCGCGAAAGCCGTCGCCGACCTCGAAGACCTTGTCGTGCGTCCCTCGTTCCGTTCTCTGTCATCTCTTCGGACGCATACTGACTCATACACATGCGCAGGCGAGCACCGAGGACGAGCTGAGCGCGTCGGACGAGTTCAAGCGCGCAAAGGAGGCGCTGCAGCTCGCCGAGTCGACCTGAGTGTCCGCGCTTTTCGCCGGCGCAGTCGGGCTCGCTCGAGTACGTCGGTGCTGCTTGCCCGACCAGTGGAGCAGGGTCGATCCGTTTGGCCGAGGGCGAGCCGGCGCGCGAGGAGGAGGAGCGCTCGCCGATTTTCAAGCGTCGCGGCCAGGTTTGTGCGGCACGTCGTCGTCCTTTGTGTACCCTTGCGACTTTTCAATGTACAACGCTGCAGTACTGCATCACGCGCCTGTTGTCGAGAGAGGCGGGCACCTCGGCCTTGAAACTGTGAGATTTCCGCCACTCGTTGAGATCTCCGGGCGCGCTCCTCTCTTCTCGAGCCTGCTTCATCTCGTCGCTTCTCGCCCTCGCCCTGCCTGCACGCTCTACCGCCCACACTCTCCTTCAGCATCTGCACCTCGCCACACCCGACCGCTCCACCCCTCCGCCCCAGCCCTTCCTCGCGATGGCCTCGAGCTCAACTGCGACCGCGGCAACAACGCGCCCCTCGCCGCGCGGCCGCATCTTCCTGCGCGCCGATGTCGAGAAGCACAACAAGGCCGGCGACTGCTGGGTCATCTGTAACGACCGCATCTACGACGTGCGTCCCTCGCGCCTCTTCACTCCACCTCGTCTCGTCGCCCAACCCCCCCTCACCTCCCCGCTCACCCCCTCTCGCTTGCCTGCAGGTGTCGCAATTCGTCGACGACCACCCGGGCGGCGACGATCTCGTCCTCGAGTGGGCGGGCAAAGACGTGACGGCCGTCATGCAGGACCCGGTCGAGCACTCGCACAGCGACAGCGCGTTCCAGCTCCTCGACGAGTCGTACTACGTCGGGCGTGTCGGCGCCGAGGAGTCGATCACGGACCCGAGCTTCGAGTTCAAGGACGGCTGGCACCCGGAGGACACGGACAACGGCAAGGACTGGGAGAAGAACCAGTTCCTCGACCTCGACAAGCCGTTGATCATGCAGGTGTGGAGGGCCAACTTCTCCAAGGCGTTCTACCTCCAGCAGGTCCACCAGCCTCGGTGCGTCCCCTCCCTCCCTCTCCCTCTTCTCAGGTGGCCCCTCGCTGACCCGGTCGCACGGTCATAGTCACCTCCCTCGCCCGGCGCGCCTCTTCGGCCCGGCCTACCTCGAGGTCTTTACGATGACCTCGTGGTACGTCGTGCCGCTCATCTGGCTCCCCATCACGGCCTGGATCCTGCGCTGCTCGATCGTGCAGCAGTTTGCCCTCGGCGTCTCGGTCCCGCAGACGATCGCTCGCACCGGCGCCTGCTTCCTCTTCGGCAACTTTGTCTGGACGGTGCGTCCCTCGTTCTCACTCTCTCCTCGAGCATGCGCATCGTCCCTGACTCGTCTTGTCCACCTGCAGCTCCTCGAGTACGGCATGCACCGGTTCCTGTTCCACATCGACGAGCACCTGCCGGACCACCCGGCGGCGCTCACGCTGCACTTCCTCCTGCACGGCATCCACCACTACATCCCCGTGCGTCCCCTCTCTCTTTCCTTTTCACCTCAACCCTCGCGCCCTCACTGACCTCTCCTCTCGCGCCGCAGATGGACCGCCTGCGCCTCGTCATGCCCCCGACCCTGTTCGCCCTCCTCCAGTACCCGTTCACCCAGCTCGCGCACGCCCTGTTCCCCAACTGGATGGCCAACGGCATCATCGCCGGCTCGTTCGCCTTCTACGTCGCTTACGACGTCATGCACTATGCGCTGCACCACACCAAGCTGCCCGAGGTGCGTCCACGTGTACCTCCCTCCCTCCCGTCCGAGCGACGTCGACTGACCCTCTCTCTCTCCTCTTGCGCCACGTGCAGTACATCAAGCGGCAAAAGTCGTGGCACATGGAGCAGTGCGTCCCTGCTCTCCTTCGCCCCCCTTACCTCTCGCCTCGCCTCGCGCCCTCGCTGACCCGTCCCGCCCTACTGCAGCCACTACAAGGAGCCCGAGCTTGGTTTCGGCGTCACGTCGCCCGTGTGGGACCGCGTCTTCGGCACGACGTTCGCGACGCCGGGCAGGGCGCAGCCGGTCGGCGGTGCGCCGCTCGTCGTCGACGGCGAGAAGCTCGGCGCGGGCAAGGTGCAGTAGCCTGAGCGCGCGAGCTCGCGCCCCCTCGTTTTCCCTCGTACACTATCTCGCATCACACCCTTTGTCACTCACTGCCTAATGGACCCTGCATCACCTCGAGCCCGTGCGAGCGTTGAGAGAATGCGCGAGCGAGTTGAACGACGGAAAGGAGAGCGGGCAAGTGAACGTGCCGCTTGATGCGGACCGCGAGGGCATTTGCTACAAAGCGAAAGAGAGTTCGCTGCAGGTTGGCCGCGGCCCGCTGCGAGGTGTCGAACTTGGCCGGACTTTGTGTCGCATGCGGCGTCGAGCGAGGAGGGGAAGGTCAGACCACGCTCGTCACCTTCCCTCGCTCGCCCTCACCAGCTCGCCTGACAGCAAGCAGAGCTCAGCAGCACTCGCACGCCCCAGCACAGCTCGAGCCCGCCCTCGATCGAGCCCTCCAGCAGCGCCCTCCCACCTTGCGCCAACCTCCCGCTCCACCTCATCTCGTTCCGACCTCTCCTTCGTCCACTGCAACCCCGCCATGGCCTACTACTCGAACGTCGGCGCGTCCAACGTCTCCGCGCCAGACCCGACCTCGCCCTCTCGTCGCCCCTCGGCGTACCAGCAGCACGCCCGCCGTGGCAGCGCCATCCCGTCCTACCTCGCCAACGACGGCGCCGGCGGCGCGCCGTACCCTCCCTCGATCGGCGTCCCGCCAACGAGCCCGAGCCGCTCTGGCGCCGGCGCCGGCGGCGGCGGCGGCGGGGCGAGCGCGCGCGGCCACAACCGCCGCGGGTCCGTCATGGACCTCGCGGCCGACATGCTCGCGGGTCCGGCCGGCGTCGAGCAGCTCGACAAGGCGCGCAAGGTGAGCGACAAGATCGAGGACCGCCTCGACGGGCTCGCGAGGCCCATCAGGCCGTGGCTGCCCGGCATGGGCCGCTTCCTCATCGTCGTCACTTTCCTCGAGGACGCCCTCAGGATCTTGACCCAGCTCAGCGGTGCGTCCCTTTCCCTCTCTATTCCTCCTCCAGTACCACCTACTGACGCTACTCGCACCCTCCGCAGACCAGAACTACTACCTCCAGGTGCGTCGACGTGGCCGACCCCCTCGTCCTCGACTCGCACTCTCCCACTCACACTCGCCCTGATCCCGCCTGCAGAAGCACCGCGGCTTCCCCTGGGGCCTGTCGCACCTCTTCCTGTGGACCAACGTCTTCGTGAGCCCCATTCTCTCTCGCTTTGGCTCTCAAGATCCGCGAATCACCGACCTGACCTCGCCCGACCCTCTCGCGTGCCGCACCAGGTCATGCTCGCGTGCTCGTCGGCCATCATCACAAAGCGGTACCCGGTGTACGCGACGGGCGGCCTGTTCGGCGTCGTCCTCGCCCAAGGGTTCGGCTACGGCCTCATCTTCGACCTCACGTTCTTCCTGCGCAACCTGTCGGTCATCGGCGGCCTCCTCATGACCCTGTCCGACTCGCTGTCGCAAAAGAAGTCGTCGATCGTCACCAACCTGACGCCCATGGGCGTCTCGGACCAGGACCGCAAGAAGTACCTGCAGCTGTTTGGCCGCGTCCTCCTCGTCTTCCTCTTCCTCGGGTTCGTCTTCAACGGCCAGAGCGGCATCGCCAAGGGCTTTGTCAGCGTGTCGGGCCTCGTCGCGTGCATCTGCGTTGCCGTCGGGTACAAGGCCCGCCAGAGCGCGCTGTACCTCGTCGTCGTCCTGTCGGCATTCAACTTTGCCGTCAACGCGTGGTGGCGCGTCCATGCCGCGCACCCGCAGCGCGACTTCCTCAAGTGCGTCCCTCTTCCTCTCTCCTCCCCTCTCGCCCTCTCGTCAAGGGAATCTCGTAAGCTGACCCTCGTGCCCGGCGCAGGTACGACTTCTTCCAGACGCTGTGTACGTCGGCCAGGTCCTCTCGCTCCCTTGGGGCAGGTTTTCGCTGCACACGAAGACATCTCTTTCGCAAAGATGTCCGGGTCGACGTACTGACGACCTTGCCCCCCGCGCCCACAGCCATCATCGGCGGCCTCCTCCTCCTCATCAACCTCGGGGCGGGCGACTTTGCGATCGAGCAGAAGAAGCGCATCTGAGCCCGCGACGCGCTCCCGGTCCTCCTCTCTCTCCTCCCTCTCCCCTCCTCGCCCTCGGTTCCCCTCACCCTGTCCCGCTTGCATACCTGCCCCTCTTCGTCGTCAACCCACCTTCTGGCGGCGCCCTTGTCGGCGTCGCTGATCATCGCTCGCCTTGCGCGCCGCTGTTGGAACAAAGATGCCTTCTTGCGCTTGCGCTGCCGGTGCGCCGACGAGAGCGAGAGCGAGAGTGAGAGCGGCAGGGAGCGCGAGAGGCGGGACGGCGTGGCGCGAGCGGCCGCTCGAGGGCTCGTCGACTCGTCGTGCGAGAGCGGCTTGTCTCAACGCTTGATTTCTGACAGACAGCGAGTGAGCTGCGGCGGCAGTATGCGAGCGAGAGACGTCTCACGGCGCGTTCGGACCTCTTGAGGCGCTCCTCGTTCCGCGCTTTCTCATGCCGCTCGAGCCGCTCTCGTCGCTCTCGCTCGCTCTCCTCTCTCAGGACACCCTCGCACGGCGCAGAAAGAGGTCTAGGAAACGCACAGATGGTTGCATGCAAGAGAGAGAGATACGTCTAGATTAGTCGTCGGCGCCCGGAACCTCCTCCTCGGCGAGCAGGCGCTCGGCTTCCAGCGCCGCGACGCAGCCCGTGCCGGCGCTCGTGATGGCCTGGCGGTAGATCTTGTCCTGTTGCGGGAGGACGAGCTTGAGTCAGTGGGTCGGCGTCGAGAGGGCGCGTCGAGAGAGAGAAAGGGAAGGAGGGGCGCACCTGGACGTCACCAGCAGCAAACACGCCCTTGACGCTCGTCTGGCTCGTGCCCGGCTTGGTGAGGATGTAGCCGTCGGCGTCGAGCTCGACCTGGCCCTTGACGAGCTCGGTGGCGGGGACGTGGCCGATGGCGTAGAAGAGGCCGTTGGCCTCGAGGTCGCGCTCCTCGCCCGTCTTGGTGTCCTTGACGCGCAGCGACGTCAGGACCTCGCCGTCGCCCTTGGCCTCGAGCGGGACCGTGTTCCACAGGACCGTGATCTTGGGGTGACTCATGGCGCGCTTGGCCATGACCTTGCTCGCACGCAGGACGTCGCGGCGCACGAGCAGGTTGACGTGCGACGCGTACTTGGTGAGGTACATGGCCTCCTCGCACGCCGAATCGCCGCCGCCGACGACGGCGAGGGGCTTGCGCCGGAAGATGGGCACGGCGCCGTCGCACACGGCGCACGCGCTAATGCCGCTCTGCCAGTACGTCTCCTCGCCGGGCAAGTTCATGCGGCGCGCCGAGGCGCCCGTCGCGATGATGAGCGTGTCGGCCGTCTCGGGGTCCTCCTGCTCGGCGCCCTCGCGCCAGAACTTGAACGGCCGCGACGAGAGGTCCACCTTGGAGATGGTCTCGGTGTGGATCGTCGTGCCGAAGCGCAGCGACTGGGCGCGGAACAGGTCCATCATCTCGGGGCCGCGGATGCCCTCGGGGAAGCCGGGGCTGTCGCGAGTGCGAGGGAGCGAGGTCAGCTGCTCAGTCTCGAGAAAGGGGGCTCGGGACGGGGACGAGCGCGGACGCACAAGTTCTCGACGTCGGTGGTCGTCGTGAGCTGACCGCCGGCCGCGAAGCCGTTGGCGAGCATGCCCTCGAACATGACGGGCTTGAGGTTGGCGCGCGCGAGGTAGATGCACGCTGAGGGTCGGGTCAAGGAGGTCAGTGGTCGTGCTCGCTGCCGCCGTTTCCTCGATGAGAGAAAGTGGACGCACCGGTGTGCTGCAGGTAGGAAGAGAGAGGATGGGCGCGAACGAAGGTCAGCTACACTGCCTCATGCCGAGGGAGAGTGCGGGACGAGGTGGGCAGAGAGAGCGGAGGACGCACGCCTGCCGGGCCAGAGCCAATGACGACGACCTTGTTGTGGTTGGACGGCTTCTCAGCGGCGGCACCGCCGTTGACTTCGATAGGGGCCATAGCTGCGGTCGATCGGGGGCGGGCGAGGGGAGCGAGAGATTGCCGGGAGAGGAGGGGGGGGAGATGGGAGAGGAAGATGGGTGGTCAGTCGGGGTCGCGGCGTGTAGGCATGCGCGGTCGCGATCCAGCTGCTTGTCGCTGTCAAGCTCGCCAGCAGGCTGGACCGACGGACGAGGTGGCGACGGTGACTTACCGAGAGAGGTTGACGAGAAGGACGAGGCGAACGAGACGGCGGCGAGCTGCGGGAGGATGCGCTTGGGCAACTGGCGGAACGTGGTCGGTACGAGGGCTGTGCGGAACAGCTTGAACAAGGGCTTGCGCGCGCGGAGCTGGGTGTGGTGGAGAGAGCGAGCGAGCCGAGTCCGGCTTCGAATCGCCGTCTCGGGCGGGCTCACAAATTGGTCAGCTCGTCGCGGCCGTCGCTTGCCTCGCTTATGTTCGACGCCGCTCCACCCGCTCCACACAACTCGGGCACCGCTTCGCAATAGTAATCTCTCTGTAATCGCTCCCTCGCCGACTCTCGAGACGACGCACGAGCCGCTTTCGCTCGCTTGACTCTGTCCAAGCCGGCGGTAGCCGCTCTGCTGTTGCAGCTCGGCAGATACACGGGAATGAGTGCTAGCTGCACGCGCATGTGCGGTAACTACCCGAGAGCGGAGGGGCGCACCGCGTGGGTGAAAGGGCAACGGCGCGCACGAGCCTTTGCTGGCGCGTGCGCCCAGCTCAGCAACAGCTCTCGGCTCAGCGAACGAGCCGCTACGAGTACTCGAGGGTGCGAGAGCCTTGGACGATCGAGGCCCAGTGCGCGAGGACGGGACAAGCGTCGCGGCGAGCGGGCGGTCCCGGTCGGCGTCATGGTGCGGAGCAGTCTCCCCTCGCGCTCGAGCGCGCAAGGCCTCGGCTAGAGAGAGCCGGCAGCATGTCGATGGCCAGGAACTGGAGCTCCTCGTCTGACATGGCAGCTGGGCGAGAAGCCGAGCGGCTCAAGGCCGAGCGAAGGTCGACGACGAGCTGGTGGATACGCACGCTGCGCGTGGTCGACGCACTCAAGCAGCGGATGTCGAGCCCCTTGTCCCGACAGATGCGCTGCGCCTGCATGCCGCAGCGAAAGCGCTGGGCTGGCGCCGAGGAAGGGAGCCGGGCAGGAAGAGGGCGGCGCCGGCGCCGGCATGGCGCAGGCCCACGACTGTCGTTGAGCTCGCCCACGCCGGCACGCAGCTGCATGCCGTCTTGCTGGCGGTGCTGAACGGCGTAATCGTCCGCCGCAGAGCGCGAGAGGTCGAGGTCGGATTCGGCGGACGGCGATAGGGCGAGGCGCGACGAGGAGAGCGACGCAGCGCACGGCGAGGGTGTCTGGCCGCGCAGAGCACCGAGCGGGAGCTTGTGCGGGCCAGCTCAAGCCAGTCTGGGTGGCCCGGGAAGCGGTTGCGGTTCAAGCCTCCCGCAGCTTGCGAGCCTCGTTCACGACCGCCGAGAGTCAACCTCGCTCTCCTTCACCGTCCTGTGCTTGGCCAGCCCGAGAGGTCCTACGTCTACTGCAGCTCCAGGCTTGCCGCAGCCCACACACGAGGTCCGTCCCTCCCCTTCCGCTCCACTCTCTCCTCCCCTCCACCTCGTTCATCTCCCGATCAGCATCTCGCCGCGACGGTCCCCGCCGGCAGCATGCTGCACCTCTAGAAAGTGCGCTGACCTTCCTTTGATCGTCCTCCAGAAGCAGCAACTCGCCTAGCGAGCCCCGTTCTCCAACTTCCTCCCCCGCCTCCTGCTCCTTCCCTCGCCGCCATGGCCTCGCTCCGCCTGCGCGCCGCCGCGCCGCGCACCCCGTCCTTCTTCTCCCTCTCGACCCATGCTCGCTTCAACTCGACGCCCGCACGCGCACCGCCGAGCAACCCGCTGCAGCCGACCCTCGCGCCTGCCGCGGGCGACCGCATCAACCGCTACTCGTGCGTCGGCCGCCTCCCTCCCTGTTCTCCTGTTGCCAAGGACTGACGAATCGACGAGCGCACAGGCACCTGATCACGTCCGACCCGACTCAGGGGTGCGTCCTCGCTTCTCCCTTTCTCGCGACGCCGAGCTGACCTCCAGTCGGTTCCCCGAGCAGCGCGTCGCAGGCCATGCTGTACGCGACCGACGGCATCGACCAGCCCAAGGACCTCGACAAGCCCATGGTCGGCATCGCCAACGTCTGGTGCGTCCCAACAGCCCTTGTTCCGCCTTACGGGCCGCACACTGACTTTCGTTTCGCCCTCGCCCCTCCCGTTTGCGCCTCGCAGGTACGACGGCAACCCGTGAGCACTCTCCCTGAACTCTCCGTCGACCCGACGATCAACGAGACGCTGACCCGACCTCTCGTGCGGCCCCGCAGCTGCAACAAGCACGTCCTTCACCTCGGCAACCGCATCAAGGACTCGCTCACCAACGCGGGCATCACGGGCTACGGGTTCGGCACGGTCGGCGTCTCGGACGGCATCTCGATGGGCACGTTCGGCATGAGCTTCTCGCTCCAGAGCCGCGACTTGATCGCCGACCAGGTCGAGACGGCGGCCGGCGGCCACTGGCTCGACGGCATGGTGACGATCCCGGTCCGTCCTTGTTCGCTTCCCTTCCCTTTCAGAGCGCCCCACCGACTGACCTGATACCCTACTGCAGGCGTGCGACAAGAACATGTGCGTCGGCGGCCGTTGTCGACGACGAGGGAGCGAGGCGGCACTGACTCTCTTTCCTTCTGCAGGCCCGGTGTCCTCATGGCTCTCGGTCGCCTCAACCGGCCAGGTATCATGGGTGCGTCGCGCCCCTCGGCCCACGTTTTTTCCCCTTGAACGAGCGCTCACTCTGCCCCCTCACGTGCAGTGTACGGCGGCACGATGCAGCCGGGCTCCTGTCAGGACCAGCCAGTCCTCGACGTCGTGAGCGCGTTCCAGTCGTACGGCAAGTTCCTCGAGATGGGTTCGACGCCCGAGGCCGAGAAGATCCGCCTCGACACGGTGCGCAACTCGTGCCGCAAGGAGGGCGGCTCGTGCGGCGGCATGTACACGGCCAACACGATGGCGTCGGCCGCCGAGGCCATGGGCATGACGCTCCCGTACTCGTCGTCGACCCCGGCCGCGTACAAGGAGAAGCAGGACGAGTGCGACGCCGTCGGCCCGGCCATGCGCCGCCTCCTCGAGAACAACATCCGCCCGCGCGACATCATGACGCGCTCGGCGTTCGAGAACGCCATGGTGCTCACCATGATCCTCGGCGGCTCGACCAACGCCGTCCTGCACCTGATCGCCATCGCGCACTCGTGCGGCGTCAAGCTCGGGATCGACGACTTCCAGGCCGTGAGCGACCGGATACCGTTCGTCGCCGACCTCAAGCCGTCGGGCAAGTACGTCATGGAGGACGTGCACAAGATTGGCGGCATCCCAGCCGTCCTCAAGTACCTCCTCGAGAACAAGCTCATCGACGGCGACATCATGACCGTCACGGGCAAGACGCTCGCCGAGAACCTCGAGCCGCTCCCCGGGCTCAAGCACGGCCAGGACGTCATCCGTCCGCTCGACAAGCCCATCAAGTCGACGGGCCACATCCGCATCCTCAAGGGCAACCTCGCGCCCGGCGGCTGCGTGTCCAAGATCACGGGCAAGGAGGGCCTCACGTTCGAGGGCAAGGCGCGCGTGTTCGACAACGAGGAGGACGTCTATCACGCCATTGAGGACAAGAGCATCAACACGAGCGAGAAGACGGTCATCGTCCTGCGCTACCTCGGCCCCAAGGGCGGTCCCGGTGCGCCCTCCCTCTCCTTCGTCCAGGCCCCCTGTCCTCTCGAACGAGCAGACACTGACCTCCACCGTTCCCTCCCCACCCTCGTCCTCTCCTCGCTGCGCTCACGCCCCCGGCAGGCATGCCCGAGATGCTCAAGACGACGTCGATGGTCATGGGCGCCGGCCTGGGCCAGCACGTCGCGTGCGTCACCGACGGCCGCTTCTCGGGCGGCACGCACGGCTTCACGGTCGGCCACGTCGTCCCCGAGGCGTTCGTCGGCGGCAACATTGCCCTCGTGCAGGACGGTGACGTGCGTCGCACCTCCTCCTCGTCCTCTTCCTCGCCTCGCGTCTTCCCTCGCGGCGGTACCCCGAGCTCACGGCCTCTTCCCGCCGTGCAGGTCGTCTACATCGACGCCATCAAGAACACGATCGATATGCGCATCTCGGACGAGGAGCTCGAGCGCAGGCGCAAGGAGTGGACCCCGCGCGAGCCCAAGGTCAAGCAGGTGCGTCTTTCTGCGTCCCTCTCCTCCCCTCGTCCCTGGGAGTGCCACGATGCGTCGTCGCGACCCGTTACTGACACCGAGACGTGTCGCGCATTCGCAGGGCACCCTGTACAAGTACACGAAGCTCGTCTCGGACGCGTCGCACGGTGCCGTCACCGACCTCCTCGACTGAGCGAGTTGGCCTCTGTCTTCTTGCGTCGTATCTCATGCTGCATTATTTCCATCTTTCTGTTGCACCCACGTCGTCTTCGAGTGGCGAGCGCGGCGAGGCGGCGAGGCGGCGCTTGAGCAGCGAGGTCCGTGTGAGGCCGCCGCAGCTTCGTCTGTCTGTCGCCGTGAGCTCTCGACAGAGGCAGTGAGAGAGACGGGCTCGGGCCAGATCAGGACCTGCCGAAAATCCCGCTGCTCCGTGCGGCGAGGAAGGGCGCGACGACCGCGGCGAGATGTTGCTCCTCCCCCACCTGTCACCGGCAGCGACCGCCGTCGAAGAGCTGTCTCGAGTGCGCCAGCAGCTTCAGCGTCGCCAACAGCCTCCTTCAGCACAAGTACACGCCTTCAAGAGCTCTGCCGCCGAGCGGCTTCTCCCCCTCTTCCCCTCATCGCGATGGAGCAAGCCCAGCCGTCCCCGATCCTCATCCTGGACAATGGCGCCCACACTATCAAGGCCGCATGGGCTCAACCTGGCGCAGGGCCGTCTGCCACACCGCCGTGCGTCCCCTCTCGTCTCCCTCCTCCTCCCCTTTCTCCCACGATTGATGAGCTCACCGCATGACGAGCACCGCTTGCCGGGCCGCTCTTCTTCGCGCGCAGTGTCGTACAGGTCTACCGCAACACGATCGCGCGCAGCAAGACGGCGAAGCGCAGCTTTGTCGGCGACGAGCTCACGGACGAGTGCGACGACTTTGGCGGGTTGACCTTTCGCGTCCCGATGGAGAGGGTGCGTCCCTGCTGTTTCTCTCTTCCCCTGTCTCTCTTGCTGTCGGTCGAGGCGGGCGAGCGTGCAAGGACGGCTGGACATGCGTGGACGGCCGGCGAGTCGAGGGGGCGGTGCAAGTCCTTGACGAGCGCCCCTGCCGGACCGCCGCTCGAGCGAGGCCTGTCTTTCGGGGGACAAGGGGCAGCAGCAGGAGGAGGTGCTCGGCACGGCGAGGTCGAGGTACACGGGCGCGAGCAGATTCACTGACCTCTTTCTCCTTCATGCGCGCAGGGAATCCTCAACAACTGGGAGGTCGAGAAGACCGTGTGGGACCGTGTCTTTGGACACCGAGGGCGAGGCTTGCAGGTGCGCTCGGCTGCGCTCCTCCTCCTGCTCCCTCCGTTGATTGCGACTGACTTGCCCGCGACGGACAGATCTCGCCGCAAGAGACCAACTTGCTCGTCACCGAGCCCATGTTCAACCTGCCCAACGTCCAGGAGCACTACGACCAGATGATCTTCGAGGACTACGACTTTTCGAGCTACCTTCGGTGTCCTGGTGCGTCTCCCTCTCCCTCTCGCTCGTCCGGGACCCGTGAGCGCGCCGTTCCTGACCGTCTTGTCTCGCGCCACCTCGCAGCACCCGCCCTCATCCCGTATGGCGCCGACGCACGAGGAGACCCGCACTACCCTACGCCGCCCCCAGAATGCGTCCTCGTCGTCGACGCCGGCTTCAGCTTCACGCACGTTGTGCCCGTCTTGCGAGGAGCGATCGTCAGCCACGCTGCTCGTCGGTGCGCACCCTCTCTCTCTCTCTCCCTCTCCCGTCCTTCCTGTTCGCCTGAACGTGAGCTAAGACGCGTACTCGCACCCGCAGGATCGACGTCGGCGGCAAGCTCCTGACCAACTACTTGAAGGAAATCGTCTCGTACCGCCACTGGTACATGATGGACCAGACCGCCGTCATGGAGTACGCCAAGGAGCAGACGTGTTACGTGTCGACGCAGTGGGACCACGACTGGGAGGCGGCAAAGTGAGTCGGCCGTCGTCCTCCCTCTCTCGAGCTGTCCGGGCGAGGCGCGAGCGTCATGCGGCGCCCGAGCTGACTCTCGCCCCTGACCCGCAGCCGGCCGACAAACCCGATCGTGCGCACCTTTGTCCTGCCCGACTTTACGCCCGGCTCGAAGAACAAGCTCGGCTACGTCCGCACGGGCCTCACGCCTGCGCCGCCGTCGCCTCCACCGCCCGACCCGACCTTGCCCGCCTCGCTCCAGCCTGCGCCTGTGCCCGAGAAGGAAGAGGAGCAGCTGCTCCACCTGTGCAACGAGCGCTTCACGGTCCCTGAGGTGCTCTTCAACCCGACGACGATCGGTGCGTCCTCCCCTTTCCCTCTTTCTCCTCTCCTCTCTTTCTCTCGAACCCGTGCCTGACATGAATCTGGCTCTCCCGCAGACCTCAACCAGGCTGGACTCGCCGAGACGGTCGCGCTCGCCATTGCCGCCCTGCCGCAGGAGGTCCAGGGCATGTTCTGGGCCAACATCGTCCTCGTCGGCGGCAGCGCACAGTTTCCTGGCTTTGCCGAGCGGCTGTGCGTCCTCGCGTCCTCTCCTCCCATCGTCGCCTTCTTGTCGCAAGTCGAGCGTGAGCTGACGATGTGTCATGCGTCGTGGCCGCACAGCCAGAGCGACTTGCGCTCGTTCGCGCCGACCGAGTTCGACATCCGGGTCACGCTCTCCTCCTCGTGCGCCACCTCCTCTCTCTTCCTCTCAATCACTCTCTATACTTGTCCTGACACTGACGAGCTCTCTCGCCGCACAGTCCGACCACCTCTGCCGCAGCCTCTGCCGCCGCGCACCTGTCGGCGCCCGCCCCGTCGCACTTCTCGCCGCCGCTCCAGCCCAACGCGTTCGTCACGCGGCAAGAGTACCAGGAGGGCGGCAGCAACGCGTGCAGGAGAAAGTTTGGCGTGTTCTACACCAAGGGCGGCGAGGACGAGGTGAGGAGGAAGGCGTTGTCGCCAGGGTGGCCGTAGCTGGGCGAGGGCGAGGGGCTCGATGCATTGAGACGAGGGTCTCGTGCATGTCTGGAGGGTGCTCGCTCGAGGGAGAGATCGACAGCTCGCTTGCTCGAGCTGGACGAGCCGCTCACTGAGCGCCGCGCGGTCCGAGAACGAGCCTTCAGCTCTCGCCGCACCTTCACCTCGCTCTTCAGCCAGCCAGCTTTGCGCACGACAGCTGTGAGCCCCCGTTCTCTTGACACTGGCGGCAGCGAGCGAGCGCAGTGCCTCGGGTGAGCTCGTTGCGCGGCGCTCACGGTCGGACGAGGTGGGGGCGGCGTACTGGACGGCTGACGCCGGATCGCAAGCCATGGCGGCTGCGCGACGTGGGTCTGAAGGACTCTCCAGCATGTCTTGCGGTACCTGCGTGGCTTCAGGAGGTGTCGACGGGGACGCAGCCAGCCCGCTCTCGTCCGTTGCCGACGACACCTCGGCGCCCCCTTCTCGCGCACCCGAGCTGACCAGTCCCGGTTCACCCACGCAGAAGCTCGAGTGCGCGGCCATGCTGCACCTCCCGCAAGCCCTCGTCGCCCTTGCCACCGCCCTCTCCTCGCCGGCCGCCCTCCCGACCATCTCGCTCTCTGCAGCCGTCAAGCCAATCCCGGTCCCGATCGTCGTGCGTCCCCTCGCTCGTATTCCTGGGCTTCGTGTCGCACGAGAACTGACCTGGACGAGCCACCGCAGATCTGGCACGGCCTCGGCGACAGCTTCGACGCGCCCGGCCTTCTGGGTCTCAAGGAGGACCTCGAGGGCAGGCCAGCACTCAAGGGTGTCTTTGTCCACATCATTCAGATCGGCGAGGACGGTCCAGCCGACCAGTGCGTGCCGACTCGCCCTATCAGAGTCCCGTCGAGGTCGCCATACAAGGACTGACCTTGCGCCGCTTTCGCGCCCACAGACGCGCCACGTTCTTCGGCTCGGCCAACGACCAGATCGCGCACGTGTGCGCCCAGCTCGGCGACCTCCCGCAGCTCGTCGACCCGGTCCTAAACCCGTCAGGCCAGTTTGACGCGGTCGGCTTCTCGCAGGGCGGCCAGCTCTTGCGGGCGGTCGTCGAGCGCTGTGGCGCCGTCGGGAGGGGCGTCGCGAGCCCTGGTGCGACGATGAGGAGGCTCGTCACGGTCGGCAGTCAGCATGTGCGTCCCGCAGACCGTCATCCTCCCCCTCCTGCGCCTCCTCCACGTGGCCGACCTGGACTCGTTCCCGCACGCAGATGGGCATCTCGTCCCTCCCTCCCTGCCCGCCCGACTCGGGCCTGCTCTCACCCTGCAGGCTCATGCACCTGTCGCTCGTCCGCTCGGGCATCTACACGTCGTGGGCCCAGCACAACATCGTCCCCGCGCAGTACTTTCGCGACCCGGAGCGCATCGACGAGTACCTCTCGGTCAACGACTTCCTGCGCGACATCAACAACGAGCGCGAGGGCGATGAGCAGGTCGTCGTCGTCGGCGGCGGTGGCGAGGAGGGAGCCGAGCCGAGGAACGCGACGTACAGCAAGAACCTGGCTGCGCTCGACCAGCTCGTCCTCATCCGCTTCAGGTGCGTCTCGCGTCGCTCTCTCTCTTCCATCGGCTCTCTTCCATCGTGTCCTCCCTGACGCGCGTCTCTCACCCATTCGCAGCGACGACATGACGGTCATTCCTCCCCAATCCGCCCACTTCACCCTCCCCTCGCCCAACGACACCTCGACCTGCCCTCTCCCGCCGCTCCCTCCCGTCCCAGGCTGCTACGCCGACCCGCTCCCGTGGTCCCTCCTCCCGCTGTACAGCCACGACTGGGTCGGCCTGCGCGCACTCGACGAGCGCGGCAGGGTCGACAGGCGCGTGTGCGACGGCGTCCACATGGAGATCAGCGACGAGTGCTGGGACGACATCGTGTCCGTGCTTGTTGGCGAGCAGGAGCAGCGGCGGGAGCGCGTCGGGCAGGACGACGGCCGGGACGGCGAGAGTGGGAGGCGCGAACAGCCGAAGCTCGTGCTCCAGCTGTAGACTCGTGTGCGCTCGTGTAATGCAACCCGGCTCGCCCTGTCGCGTTCGTCTGTGCCCGAGCGAGAGTGAGCGTTTCAGAAAGCCGTCCTGCTCGAGGGGCTCGAGCGGCGCGCTCTCGCTCTCGCCGTGACGCTCTCGCTCTCGCCAGCAGGCTGCTCTCGCTCGCTCGTCAACGCGATACACAAGCGCTACATGTACAGGCCCCTCGCGCTACGACACTCCTCGCCTCGCTGGCCGTCCACACGCGCTCACAAGCCCGCCGGCGGCGGCACGGCGCCGTACCTCCCCTGCCCGCCCTGGGGCGGCGCAGGCGGCGCGTCGCTCGGCGGCGGTGGTGGCGGGGCTGCGGAAGAAGGCGGCGGCGGGGGAGGTGCGTCGGAGGGAGGGGCAGGAGGGGCGGGCTCAATCGGGGGTGCGGGCGTCGTGGTGGTGGCGGCGGCGGTCGCGGCAGCGGCCGGGTTGGCGGCGTACTGGGCGTAGGCGGCGTAGTACCTGCACGTTGAGGGAACCGAGGAGTCAGTGCCGGGATCGAGGGCGAAGGAGGAGAGGAGAGAAAAGGCGAAAGCGCACTGGGTGTAGTAGTCCTTGCTCGCCTGGTCCAGCGACTGCCACCACGCCGTGTACGCCTCGGGGCTCAAGCCGCTCGCGGCCTGTGCGCCCGCCGGCTCGTCGCCCGTCGCCGTCGGCGCGGCAGGTGGCGCCTCGGTCGGCGGGAGCGGCGCCGTGAGGCCTGCGCCGGCGTACTGGTTAGGCTGCAAGAGGATGTCGAGCCGTCAGGACCGTCGCACGACGAGTGAGAGCAGGGAGAGTGTCGGCGCACCTGATAGCTGTACGGGTTCTGCTGCTGCTGCTGCTGCCCCATCTGGCCCATCTGGTCCGGCCCACCGCCGGCGCCGAACCGCATCGGCGCGCCGTACTGCTGCATGTTGGACCCGCTCGGCGTGAACTGCCCGCCGCCGCCACCGCCGCCGCCGTACGGGGCGAGCGCCTCGCGCGCCTCGGTGTGCTTCTCGCGCACGACCTTGAGGAGGTCGCGGGCGAGCTCGGCGGCGCGGTCGATCTGCGCCTGCTCGGGGCCGCTGTCGGGGTGGAAGTACGAGTCAGTGAACGTCAGGGAGAGAGAGCGAGGCACTGAAAGAGACAGGAGAGGGCAAGGGACGCACGCGATATTGACGTGCAGCGGGTCATCGCTCTCCCTCCCCGTGTCCGTCTCGATGAAGCCCGACCCTTGACCCTTGATCTGCACGCGCGTGCCCGTCTCCTGCTGGATCCACTTGACGAACATGCCCTGCGAGCGGAGAAAGCGCGGGTCAGTGCGGGTCGCGAGGGGCCAAGGCTCGAGGAGCGATGGGACCGGCAGGGACGCACGCCGGGCCCGACCGTCTTGGCGCGCAGGTTGAAGTTGCGCAACGGCTCGAGCTCGATGAGGACCTTCTCCTCGGGCCACTTGCGCTGCGGGACGGGGCGGGCGAGAGGTCAGTCGGCGCGCTCGTGGGCACAACCCGAGAAGGAGAGGGAAAGACAGGGGGGCAGGACGCACACGTTGGCCGTACCCAGAGTCACGGGGCAGGTCCTCGCCGCGCTGCGGGCCCCTGCGCGTGTCGAGCAGGTTGAGCTCCTGGTCGATGAGGGCCTGGACGGCGCGCACGCCGGCCTCGAGCTTGTCGGCCGACTCTGCCGTGATGTGCAGGTACAAGGGCGGGTCCTTGTCGGTCGCCATGGCCTTGTCCGGGTACCACACGCCCTTGGTCAGGACGGCGGCGCCCGTGTCGGCGAGGATCTGCTGCTGCGTCGGGCCTTTGGTGAGAAGGTACCTGTTGCGCAGGTCGTTGATCTCGATGTCCTCGACGAACCTGTCGGTGACGAGGTGGGTCAGCCGCGGTGCTCGAAGATGGATGGACTGCCGCCCTGAGTCGGGCGTGGACCGCCGACGGCTTGACGAGGACCGTCGGGCGAGGAGGGAGAGAGGGAGGGAGAAGGGATGGAAGGGGGACTGACAGGCCTTGTGCGCGCTCCCTCTCGCGCTCGCGCTTGTCCCCAGCTCCCATCGAGTCTGCCGCGCTGCCCGCCGCCGCTCCACCGCCGGCAGGAGGAGGAGGCGGAGCCTGACCCGGCGGGGGCGCGGCGCCGTACTGCGTCGCGAGGCGAGCTGCGATCGAGGCTGCGCGCAGGGAGAGCACTGTGAGCTCATGCAGTACACTGTGGAAGAGCTGAGGGGACGCACCAGCAGCTGCAGCGGCCTTGTCGCCATCGCGGTTCGGGTCACCCAGATGCCCGTTGTCGTCCTCGGTCTTGACGTGCTTGGCCGGGTCCTGGGACGCGGTTGAGGGAGAGCCGGGCTCGTCCCACTTGCGCTTGCGCTCGGTCGAAGCCATGGCGCGTGGTGGTCAAGGTGAGCTGGTGAGCTCGCGGCTCGCGGTGAGCGTGGGGAGCGTCTCTCCTCACAGCTTGCGCGGCTACGAGCGCCTTCTTGGGCCGTGTGCGTCGGTACTCCGGCTCTCAACGCGGCTCTAGACAAGCGAGAGCTGCGGTCGCGACGGGTCAAAAATGCGACAGCATGTCTCGGTTGGAGGCGGCGCGCTCAAGAGACGTCTTGCAAGCTCACTGTGTGCGCGGAAGTCCAGCTACGATAGACTAGCGACAGCTTTGTAAGTCCATCGACCGCGCAGGGCGTCGCTGCGAGCGAGAGGCGCCGTCCCGCTCGGTCGCCCCCACTTGCTCGCGCCTTGTGCCCTTGTCCCTCTCTCGCTCTCGACCAAAGCGCACCAGGTTTGCCGTCAACAGGTGAGCACGACTCTCACGCATCTTTCCCGCCGCCCACCGCACCCTCCCGCGCTGTCGCCGTCGCGCTGGGAAAGCCTCCTCTGCGCGGGCCGACCGAGGCTCTCGCGCCACCTGCAGTCGGCCTGGCGTGAGGGAGAGGGTCGGCGGGAGACTAAAGGCAGGTGTGTGTCCTCCACGCGGTCGAGCGTCGTCGTGCGAGGGCTCGAGGGCTCGAGGGCGGGCCATTCGAGCGGGACTCGGCGGCGGGGCGGTACCCGGTGGATGCTCGCGTTCTGGCTTGCAGTGCGGGCGCGCTGTGCTCGCTGCGGTCAGATGCAGGGTGTCCGCATGCGGTCCAGGACATCTCGCGTCTTGTTCTCGGCCTGAAGCCGTCGTCGGAGGATTCGGGCCATCTCGCGGGCTCGCCCTCACCATCGCCGTGTCGCACCCAACATTGCCTGCTGTCGTATCACGCACTGACATTGCACTCTCTTTGCGCAGCTCGGCCGACCGCCTGCGCAGCGACTCGCCTGCGCCGCTCCCGGTCGCATTCGTCCAAGTCCGTCTCCCCACTCCTCGACTCTCCCGCACAAAGGGCGCATGCTGACCCTCGGTCACGCAGCATGTACCCCCTCGTTCCGCTCGCCGACGACCCGCTCCCTCCGCCCTCGCCCTCGTACACGCACTCGTCGGCCTCGTCCACCTCGCGCTCGCACCGCCGCCCGGCCGACCTCCACTCGCTGTCGTCGCGCGAGTCGGACTGGTCGTCGTCGTCGGACGCCGAGCACATCTCCGAGGAGGACGAGGGCGACGACGACGCGTTCGACCTCGTCAGCAGCGCCGAGCTGCCGCCGCCCGTAGCGTCCGCGCCTGCCGCACCTCCCGCCGCCGACGTGGCCTCGATCCGCTCCCTCGGCACCGCGACCAGCTCGAACGACAGCGCGAGCGAGTCGGCCGACGACTCGGACTCGCCCTCGCACATGAAGCTCAGCTTCCCCGACCCGCTCAACGCGTCGTCGTCGTCGGCCGCGAGCGACGGCGGGCAGGCCCACTCGGAGCGCGACCGCGGCGGCGAGCAGCCCGGGCGTACCGCCAACCTCGACGAGTCGATCCTTCTCGACGGCGAGGGCGCCTACTCGCTCCTGCTCGACGCCCGCACGGCACCCGCGTCGTCGTCGGCGGCCGACGAGGCCGCCGAGCCCGACTCGGGGTCCGGCCTCACGAGCCCGCTCCTCCGCGCCCAGGACGAGCCGCCGATCGGCGTCGACAGCGGCGACGAGGACGAGCAGCGCGTGCGCGCCGTCGAGGGCGGCGTCGGAGAGTGGGTCCGCCGCACACGCCTGAGCGCCAAGAAGCGCGAGCAGGGCATGCGCGAGCGCGGCGTGCAGACGGTGCGCAGCGTCGAGGGCGACGGCGACGACGTCAAGCTCGAGCTCGAGAGCTCGGTCCTCAGCTCGATGGCCGGCAGCTCGCTCGTGTCGAGCCAGGCCACCGTCGTGCCTGCCGCGGCCCAGGTCGCCGTCGCCGCGCCCGAGCTCGTTGAGCCGCCCGAGCAGCGCCCCCTCGCCAGCGAGCCTCTCTCTCCCGTCGTCGAGGACGCGACCGCCGCCGTTCAGCGCCAAGTACGCCGCGACGCCTCGCACGCCCTCTTCCAGCGCCGTCGCACCCTCCTCGCCGTCGCGCTCGCCACTACGCTCGCCCTCTCGGCGTCGATCTGGCTCGGCCCGTCGTCCGCCGGTCCCGGCGTCGTCGTCGGCACAAGGGCCTGCGAGCGGGACGGCCCTCGAGCGGGCGCTCAGGCCGTGCGCCCCGACGTTGGCCAAAGCCACCCGTCTACCGCCGACGCCCCTACGGCGGCTGCCTGGCTCGAGACGGTCCTGGGCGACGTCGTGTCGCCGTCGCCGTCTGCTGGTGCCGCCGCTGTCGAGCCGGCTGCGGCGTCGCCGTCGTCGCCTCCGTCGCCTCGGCGCAAGCTGTTCCCAGTCGCCGAGCCGGTCAGCCCGTCCTCGCCGGCCAAGCCCGAGCCGTCGACGGCCGCAGCGCCGGTCCACGTCCACTCGAGCACCCGGCCCTGCGCGGCTTGCGCCCTCGCGACCCTCTCTGCCGCCCCTCGTCGCGCCGTCGTCCCCTTTGCGCCGGCCGTTCGCGCCCCGACCGCGACGGCCGTCGCCCACGGCAAGCGCTGCGGCCACCCTCGCCCGAGGCGCGCGCGCGTCGAGCTCGGTACCGGGCCCGGCGTCGAGCAGCAGGGCGGCGCCGAGGAGGAGACGGAGCGCGTCTCGCTGTTCCGCGAGCCGGCCGCCGTCGCGGACTCGCCCGTCGACGCGCCCGAGGCGCAGCAGCTCCCGCCGCAAGCTCGTCGCCTCCAGGACCGCGTGCACGACCTCGTCGTCGAGCGCCTCGCCCGTGCGCAGCGCGTCGTCCCGCCCGCCTCGCACGCCCATGGCGTCGCAGACCGCGCCGGCCGCCTCGCACGTTCGACGGGCGCGCTCGTGACGCAGTCGACGCACGCCGGCTTCGCGGCCGTCGTCGAGCGCGCTCGTCGCCTGAGCCGCAGGGCGCACGTGCGCAAGTCGGTGCGAGCGCTCGGCTCAAGCTCTGGCGCGCGCACTCGGCGCGAGGTCGAGCGCCTCGTCCGCTCGGTGCGCCGCGCTCCCGAGTTGACGCACGACGTGGTCGGCCACATCAAGGCGCAGTCGAGGCGCGCCGGGCGCGTGACCGAGGCGGGCAGGCGGGCCATGGTCGAGGCCGCGCTCACGGCCCAGCTCCCGCACCGAGCCCGTCGAGCTCTGCGTCGTCTCGAGGCGTCGACTCCTTCGCGGCGCCAGCTCAAAGAGGCTGCCTCGTCTCGCCTCCCCCGGCTCGACCTCCGGGCCGACCTCGACCTCGTCGTCGCCCGCATCCGCTCGTACGCCTCATCTCGCCTTGCCCGAGCCTCGGTCGGTCGCGCCGCCGTCGACGTCGTCTCGAAGCGCTGCACGGGCGCCGTGCAGGAAGGGGCCGAGGAGAGCCGGCGCCACGTCCGCCGGGCTGCGAGGACGGCGAGGCGGCTCGCCGAGAAGGTCGAGCGGCGCGTGGGTCGTCGCGAGCGGCGTGCCTGATGCGGGCGTCGAGTGCGTCCCCTCCTCTCCTCCTCTCGGCCATCGGGTGTCGCGCCGACTTGCGTTTCGGGCACTGACCCGCCATTCCTCGCAGCGTCTGACCACCTCCGCCGCACCTCGTCGACGGCCCTTCCTCGTCGCCTGTACTAGTCCCCCTTCTTTGTCCGTGTCTCTGTACTTGGCCCGCTCCCTCGTTGTCGTCTCTACCTCCCGCTTTGTCCCTCCGCCTTTGTAGCTGCCCCTCCTTTGCTTTCCTGTCACGCGTTCGTCGATTCATCACGCGCACTCGTGGCGGCGCGAGGCTTGCGAGAAGCGAGAATAGAAAGCCTGGAAAGCGAACAGTTGCGAGCGGTCGCAGGGCAAATGACCGTGCGCGGTTCGCGATGGGCGTTCACTGATTGCGGCGACCCATCCGTTGTGTGTTCTCTATGCATGCACGCAGGCAGCAGGAGGAGCAACCGGGCTGCGCTGCGCTGCCTGCTTGCCGGCTGCAGCATGGCGTGCGCTGCCAGAGTCGGTGGCGTTCAACCCGACATGACAGCCTGCATGCCCCTTGAGACGGTCTAGACGTCGTCAGAGGACCGTACTCAAATGCTCTGCGCGCTCGGCACAGCGAGGAGAGCTGTGGTTGCCAGGCAAGGCGCGTCGCTTCTGACCTTCCCAAGTTGCCGCACCTCGTGCTTTACGCCTTCCCCCACGAATCCGACAGCTCCGCCAAAGCGACAATAGACTCAGGGGATGCAGCCTGACAAATCCCGCCTTGCTCGGAAGCAAACAGAGCTGTTGCCGAGCACGCCTCGCGCCTCGGGCTACAAGCGGGCTCCCGCGCACCTCCCAAAAAAAGTCGGGAGCTTTCCGGACAAAAGTTGACCACGATGGGGCTCGAACCCACGATCTCCTGATTTACACACGATCGCCTCAGGGCGAACAGTCGTAGTCAGACGCCTTGCCATTGGGCCACGCGGCCGATGTTGATGGGCGCCGGGCTATGAGCATACAAATCAGGCCTGTGCTTGAACTGTCGCTGCAAAGGCGGGTGGGCCCTTTCCGTCCTTCGGTCCATCCGGATCCAAGCTCGCCAGGCCGAGTAGGAGGGCCGCCTGGCGCTTCTCGCCAACAACCGGCTGGGTCGGGACAGTGCTGCTCACGCAAACGCGGTCTTTGGCGAACGTCATGCGCAGGTCCGTCCTGCTGTGCTGTTCCCGGCGTGACCTCCTCCGCTCGATGCGTAGCAGGCAGAGCAAAAAGATATCCCCGCTCCCGGGATCGAACCAGGGACTTTCAGATGAACGTAACCGATTACAGTCTGACACTCTTCCAGCTGAGTTAAGCGGGGCTTGAGGCAACGAGCGGGCCTGGCAAGCGTGCCCGTCTAAGACCCAAATGGTTTGCACGTGCAGCTCCATGGGGAACAGCCCTCCTGACCTGATGCTCAGCACAGGGACCATTTAGTAGCATACCTTGATGGTAATGGAGCCAGATTTGCGATATTGCATCAGGAGCATGCTCAGCGGGACCGTCCCCCTGAGCCTGCACCTTCTTTTTCCTTCCACCCGGCCGTGACGCCGTCAGATTGGGCTGCCGCTGCAGGGCAGAGGAGAGTAAGAAGTCCTTTGAATGGTTAGCTAGGTTAGAAGTTGAACAGAGCTTGTGGCCCAGTTCCACCCTGAGCCTGCACCTTCTTTTTCCTTCCACCCGGCCGTGACGCAGTCAGATTGGGGTGCCGCTGCAGGGCAGAGGAGAGTAAGAAGTCCGCTGAATGGTTAGCTAGGTTAGAAGTTGAACAGAGCTTGTGGCCCAGTTCCCCCCTGAGCCTGCACCTTCTTTTTCCTTCCACCCGGCCGTGACGCAGTGCGATTGGGCTGCCCCTGCAGGGCAGAGGAGAGTAAGGAGTTCTGTAAATGGTTAGCTAGGTTCGAAGTTGAATGGAGCTTGTGCCCCAGTTCTGCAGAGGCGAACCTGTTCCTGGCGAGCCCGACCCTCTCGGACCTGAACCCTTTGCGCGCGCAGCTCCATGAGGAACAGCCCCCCCAACCTGCTACTCAGCACAGAGACCATTTAGTAGCATACCTTGATGGTAATGGAGCCAGATTTGCAATATTGCATCAGGAGCATGCTCAGCGGGACCGTCCCCCTGAGCCTGCACCTTCTTTTTCCTTCCACCCGGCCGTGACGCAAGGCGATTGGGCTGCCGCTGCAGGGCAGAGGAGAGTAAGAAGTCCTTTAAATGGTTAGCTAGGTTAGAAGTTGAACAGAGCTTGTGGCCCAGTTCCCCCCTGAGCCTGCACCTTCTTTTTCCTTCCACCTGGCCGTGACGCTGTCGGGCTGGGCTGCCCCTGCAGGGCAGAGGAGAGTAAGAAGTCCTTTAAATGGTTAGCTAGGTTAGGAGTCGAACAGAGCTTGTGGCCCAGTTCCACCCTGAGCCTGCACCTTCTTTTTTCTTCCATCCGGCCGTGACGCAGTCGGGTTGGGCTGCCCCTGCAGGGCAGAGGAGAGTAAGAAGTCCTTTAAATGGTTAGCTAGGTTACAAGTTGAACAGAGCTTGTGCCCCAGTTCCACCCTGAGCCTGCACCTTCTTTTTCCTTCCACCTGGCCATGACGCAGTCAGATTGGGGTGCCGCTGCAGGGCAGAGGAGAGTAAGAAGTCCTTTAAATGGTTAGCTAGGTTAGAAGTTGAACAGAGCTTGTGGCCCAGTTCCCCCCTGAGCCTGCACCTTCTTTTTCCTTCCACCCGGCCGTGACGCATTGCGATTGGGCTGCCCCTGCAGGGCAGAGGAGAGTAAGGAGTTCTGTAAATGGTTAGCTAGGTTCGAAGTTGAATGGAGCTTGTGCCCCAGTTCTGCAGAGGCGAACCTGTTCCTGGCGAGCCCGACCCTCTCGGACCTGAACCCTTTGCGCGCGCAGCTCCATGAGGAACAGCCCCCCCAACCTGCTACTCAGCACAGAGACCATTTAGTAGCATACCTTGATGGTAATGGAGCCAGATTTGCAATATTGCATCAGGAGCATGCTCAGCGGGACCGTCCCCCTGAGCCTGCACCTTCTTTTTCCTTCCACCCGGCCGTGACGCAAGGCGATTGGGCTGCCGCTGCAGGGCAGAGGAGAGTAAGAAGTCCTTTAAATGGTTAGCTAGGTTAGAAGTTGAACAGAGCTTGTGGCCCAGTTCCCCCCTGAGCCTGCACCTTCTTTTTCCTTCCACCTGGCCGTGACGCTGTCGGGCTGGGCTGCCCCTGCAGGGCAGAGGAGAGTAAGAAGTCCTTTAAATGGTTAGCTAGGTTAGGAGTCGAACAGAGCTTGTGGCCCAGTTCCACCCTGAGCCTGCACCTTCTTTTTTCTTCCATCCGGCCGTGACGCAGTCGGGTTGGGCTGCCCCTGCAGGGCAGAGGAGAGTAAGAAGTCCTTTAAATGGTTAGCTAGGTTACAAGTTGAACAGAGCTTGTGCCCCAGTTCCACCCTGAGCCTGCACCTTCTTTTTCCTTCCACCTGGCCATGACGCAGTCAGATTGGGGTGCCGCTGCAGGGCAGAGGAGAGTAAGAAGTCCTTTAAATGGTTAGCTAGGTTAGAAGTTGAACAGAGCTTGTGGCCCAGTTCCACCCTGAGCCTGCACCTTCTTTTTCCTTCCACCCGGCCGTGACGCAGTCAGATTGGGGTGCCGCTGCAGGGCAGAGGAGAGTAAGAAGTCCGCTGAATGGTTAGCTAGGTTAGAAGTTGAACAGAGCTTGTGGCCCAGTTCCCCCCTGAGCCTGCACCTTCTTTTTCCTTCCACCCGGCCGTGACGCAGTGCGATTGGGCTGCCCCTGCAGGGCAGAGGAGAGTAAGAAGTTCTGTAAATGGTTAGCTAGGTTCGAAGTTGAATGGAGCTTGTGCCCCAGTTCTGCAGAGGCGAACCTGTTCCTGGCGAGCCCGACCCTCTCGGACCTGAACCCTTTGCGCGCGCAGCTCCATGAGGAACAGCCCCCCCAACCTGCTACTCAGCACAGAGACCATTTAGTAGCATACCTTGATGGTAATGGAGCCAGATTTGCAATATTGCATCAGGAGCATGCTCAGCGGGACCGTCCCCCTGAGCCTGCACCTTCTTTTTCCTTCCACCCGGCCGTGACGCAGTGCGATTGGGCTGCCGCTGCAGGGCAGAGGAGAGTAAGAAGTCCTTTAAATGGTTAGCTAGGTTAGAAGTTGAACGGAGCTTGTGGCCCGGTTCCCCCCTGAGCCTGCACCTTCTTTTTCCTTCCACCCGGCCGTGACGCAGTGCGATTGGGCTGCCCCTGCAGGGCAGAGGAGAGTAAGAAGTCCTTTAAATGGTTAGCTAGGTTAGAAGTTGAACAGAGCTTGTGGCCCAGTTCCACCCTGAGCCTGCACCTTCTTTTTCCTTTCACCCGGCCGTGACGCAGTCGGGTTGGGCTGCCCCTGCAGGGCAGAGGAGAGTAAGAAGTCCTGTAAATGGTTAGCTAGGTTAGAAGCTGAATGGAGCTTGTGCCCCAGTTCTGCAGAGGCAAACCTGTTCCTGGCGAGCCCGACCCTCTCGCGCCGGCAGAGCACGCTGCTCGCCAGGCTGCGGCTCGACTTTGCCGGCCTCGCGGCGCACCTGCACCGCATCCAGCGCCACCCGACCGGCCTGTGCGAGTGCGGCGAGGAGGAGACTCGGGCTCACTTCCTCCTCGCCTGCCCCCTCTACGCCGCGCCTCGTGCTGCGCTCGTGCGTGCGACCGGCAAGGACGCCATGCCACCCCTCGCCACCCTCCTCACCGACCTCGCCCTCGCCCGCCCCGTCCTCAAGTTCGTCAACGACACCGGGCGGTTCCCTCGGCTGCACGAGGCGGTCAAGGACTCGGCGGGCACGGTCAAGCAGGGCGTCTAGGTGGACCTGAGGGACTCGGTGGACGTGTGGGAGGACATGGGAGGGAATTCCTCGTGCGCCCGACCGTTTCTCTCTATCCGCTGCCCTCCTCCTCCTCCTCCTCGCCAAACCTCATCCGCCAACCTCTCGACAACTCCGTCATTTCTCGGTCTTTTTCTTTCGTTCTTCTTTCTTTCGACTCGTTATACCCTCCCCTACATCCCTGTACACCTTTCCGTTAACCTCGACATCGACTCGACCACCTCCCCCCCCCTCTTCCCGGCGGTGGGTACCTGGACGGGCCTTCCTCACGGGCGTGCGCATCCACTCGCTGCCTGCCGTCGCAGCGCGGCCCTGGGCAAGCCATACCCTCGGCGGCCGCAGCTGAGCGATGTCGCACGCCCTCAGGTCCGTCCTCAGCCTCTTCCTCGCCGCCATCTCGGCGGCGGACCTCCCCTCTCGCCCGCGCGTTTGCCGCTTGCCGCCCGCCTGCGCGTCGACCCTGGGCCAGTCGACCCGCACGCGGCTGCCGCAGCGCAACGCCGGTGCAGCTGGGCAAGGTGAAGGAGTTGACCTCCTCCTCGTCGGCGCCCTTTCGGGTGTCGGCTTGGGGAACCGCCACAACTCGCCCATTTCGACCTCGTTTTCCACCTTTCTTCTTTCTATCGACTCGACACACCTTCCTTTACTACCCTGTACGCCTAGCGCAACCCTCCTTGACTTTTTCTTTGTCGTCATTGACACTTCCCTCCTTTGTTCGATACCTCCCTCATTTCTTGACCTCTCACGTTCTTTTTGAGCTTGTTTAGCACCTCTCCTCCCCCTCCACACCCTCCTCCACCTTCCTCCCCTTGGGCAGCGGGTAGCTGACCGGTCAACATGGGTCTGTAGAAGGCCTCAGGCGACTTGAAAATGGAATCTCTTTCTCTCTCTCTCTCTCTCGGACCTGAACCCTTTGCGCGCGCAGCTCCATGAGGAACAGCCCCCCCAACCTGCTACTCAGCACAGAGACCATTTAGTAGCATACCTTGACGGTAATGGAGCCAGATTTGCAATCTTGCATCAGGAGCATGCTCAGCGGGACCGTCCCCCTGAGCCTGCACCTTCTTTTTCCTTCCACCCGGCCGTGACGCAGTCAGATTGAGCTGCCGCTGCAGGGCAGAGGAGAGTAAGAAGTCCTTTGAATGGTTAGCTAGGTTAGAAGTTGAACAGAGCTTGTGGCCCAGTTCCCCCCTGAGCCTGCACCTTCTTTTTCCTTCCACCCGGCCGTGACGCAGTGCGATTGGGCTGCCCCTGCAGGGCAGAGGAGAGTAAGAAGTCCTTTAAATGGTTAGCTAGGTTAGAAGTTGAACAGAGCTTGTGGCCCAGTTCCACCCTGAGCCTGCACCTTCTTTTTCCTTCCACCCGGCCGTGACGCAGTCAGATTGGGCTGCCGCTGCAGGGCAGAGGAGAGTAAGAAGTCCTTTAAATGGTTAGCTAGGTTAGAAGTTGAATCGAGCTTGTGCCCCAGTTCCCCCCTGAGCCTGCACCTTCTTTTTCCTTCCACCCGGCCGTGACGCAGTCAGATTGGGCTGCCGCTGCAGGGCAGAGGAGAGTAAGAAGTCCTTTAAATGGTTAGCTAGGTTAGAAGTTGAATGGAGCTTGTGCCCCAGTTCTGCAAAGGCAAACCTGTTCCTGGCGAGCCCGACCCTCTCGGACCTGAACCCTTTGCGCGCCCAGCTCCATGAGGAACAGCCCCCCCAACCTGCTACTCAGCACAGAGACCATTTAGTAGCATACCTTGACGGTAATTGAGCCAGATTTGGGCCAGTGCATCGGTAGCATCATCAGCCAGACCAAGCCTCTCGGCCCCACTCGGACCCAACCCGTCTGCGCGCACAGCTCCATGAGGAACAGGGCTACTGACCTACAACTTGGCACAGGGACCATACAATAGTAAACCTTGACGGTAATGGAGCCAGATTTGGGCCAGTGCATTGGTAGCATCATCAGCCAGACCAAGCCTCTTGGCCCCACTCGGAGCCAACCCGTCTGCGCCCACAGCTCCATGAGGAACAGGGCTACTGACCTACCGCTTGGCACAGGGACCATACAATAGTATACCTTGACGGTAATGGAGCCAGATTTGGGCCAGTGCATCGGTAGCATCATGAGCGAGACCAAGCCTCTTGGCCCCACTCGGACCCAACCCGTCTGCACGCACAGCTCCATGAGGAACAGGGCTACTGACCTACAACTTGGCACAGGGACCATACAATAGTAAACCTTGACGGTAATGGAGCCAGATTTGGGCCAGTGCATTGGTAGCATCATCAGCCAGACCAAGCCTCTTGGCCCCACTCGGACCTAACCCGTCTGCACGCACAGCTCCATGAGGAACAGGGCTACTGACCTACCGCTTGGCACAGGGACCACATGATAGTATACCGTGATGGTAATGGAGCCAGATTTGGGCCAGTGCATTGATAGCATCCTCAGGTAGACCAAGCCTCTCGGCCCCACTCGGACCCAACCCGTCTACGCGCACAGCTCCATGAGGACCAGGGCTACTGACCTACCGCTTGGCACAGGGACCATACAATAGTATACCTTGACGGTAATGGAGCCAGATTTGGGCCAGTGCATCAGTAGCATCATCAGCGAGACCAAGCCTCTTGGCCCCACTCGGACCCACCCCGTCTACGCGCACAGCTCCATGAGGACCGGGGCTACTGACCTACCGCTTGGCACAGGGATCATACAATAGTATACCTTGACAGTAATGGGGCCAGATTTGGGCCAGTGCATCGGTAGCATCATCAGCCAGACCAAGCCTCTTGGCCCCACTCGGACCCAACCCGTCTGCGCGCACAGCTCCATGAGGACCAGGGCTACTGACCTACCGCTTGGCACAGGGACCATACAATAGTATACCTTGATGGTAATGGAGCCAGATTTGGACCAGTGCATCAGGAGCATCATCAGCCAGACCAAGCCTCTTGGCCCCACGCGGACCCAACCCGTTTGCGCGCACAGCTCCATGAGGAACAGGGCTACTAACCTACTGCTTGGCACAGGGACCATACAATAGTATACCTTGACGGTAATGGAGCCAGATTTGGGCCAGTGCATCGGTAGCATCATGAGCGAGACCAAGCCTCTTGGCCCCACTCGGACCCACCCCGTCTACGCGCACAGCTCCATGAGGACCAGGGCTACTGACCTACAACTTGGCACAGGGACCATACAATAGTATACCTTGATGGTAATGGAGCCAGATTTGGACCAGTGCATCAGGAGCATTGTCAGCCAGACCAAGCCTCTTGGCCCCACTCGGACCCAACCCGTCTGCGCGCACAGCTCCATGAGGAACAGGGCTACTGACCTACCGCTTGGCACAGGGATCATACAATAGTATACCTTGACGGTAATGGAGCCAGATTTGGGCCAGTGCATCGGTAGCATCATGAGCGAGACCAAGCCTCTTGGCCCCACTCGGACCCAACCCGTCTGCGCGCACAGCTCCATGAGGAACAGGGCTACTGACCTACCGCTTGGCACAGGGATCATACAATAGTATACCTTGACGGTAATGGAGCCAGATTTGGGCCAGTGCATCGGTAGCATCATGAGCGAGACCAAGCCTCTTGGCCCCACTCGGACCCAACCCGTCTGCGCCCACAGCTCCATGAGGAACAGGGCTACTGACCTACAACTTGGCACAGGGACCATACAATAGTATACCTTGACAGTAATGGGAGCCAGATTGGGCCAGTGCATCAGTAGCATCATCAGCCAGACCAAGCTCTTGGCCCCACTCGGACCCAAACCGTCTGCGCGCACAGCTCCATGAGGAACAGGGCTACTGACCTACCGCTTGGCACAGGGATCATAGAATAGTAAACCTTGACGGTAATGGAGCCAGATTTGGGCCAGTGCATTGGTAGCATCATCAGCTAGACCAAGCCTCTCGGCCCCACTCGGACCTAACCCGTCTGCACGCACAGCTCCATGAGGAACAGGGCTACTGACCTACCACTTGGCACAGGGACCATACAATAGTATACCTTGATGGTAATGGAGCCAGATTTGGACCAGTGCATCAGGAGCATTGTCAGCCAGACCAAGCCTCTTGGCCCCACGCGGACCCAACCCGTCTGCGCGCACAGCTCCATGAGGAACAGGGCTACTAACCTACTGCTTGGCACAGGGACCATATAATCGTATACCTTGATGGTAATGGAGCCAGATTTGGGCCAGCGCATCAGTAGCATTGTCAGCCAGACCAAGCCTGTCGGCCCCACTCGGACCTAACCCGTCTGCACGCACAGCTCCATGAGGACCAGGGCTACTGACCTACCGCTTGGCACAGGGACCATACAATAGTATACCTTGACGGTAATGGAGCCAGATTTGGGCCAGTGCATCGGTAGCATCATCAGCGAGACCAAGCCTCTTGGCCCCACTCGGACCCAACCTGTCTGCGCGCACAGCTCCATGAGGACCAGGGCTACTGACCTACCGCTTGGCACAGGGATCATACAATAGTATACCTTGACAGTAATGGGGCCAGATTTGGGCCAGTGCATTGGTAGCATCATCAGCTAGACCAAGCCTCTTGGCCCCACGCGAACCTAACCCGTCTGCACGCACAGCTCCATGAGGAACAGGGCTACTGACCTACCACTTGGCACAGGGACCATACAATAGTATACCTTGATGGTAATGGAGCCAGATTTGGGCCAGTGCATCAGTAGCATTGTCAGCCAGACCAAGCCTGTCGGCCCCACTCGGACCTAACCCGTCTGCACGCACAGCTCCATGAGGACCAGGGCTACTGACCTACCGCTTGGCACAGGGACCATACAATAGTATACCTTGACGGTAATGGAGCCAGATTTGGGCCAGTGCATCGGTAGCATCATCAGCGAGACCAAGCCTCTTGGCCCCACTCGGACCCAACCTGTCTGCGCGCACAGCTCCATGAGGACCAGGGCTACTGACCTACCGCTTGGCACAGGGATCATACAATAGTATACCTT